AAAATTTGTTTTAAAACAAACCAAAGCATAACAAGGAAATAAAAGCCCTAAATCCTAAATGCGCCGGCCCACTACCTATTCCAGCCCAAATCAAATAAAACTAAATAAACCTAAAATTGGCCCAAATACCAAACAAAAAACCCTACCCGGATGGACCCGTGCACCCGACCCGGTCACCGGCCGCCGACCCGACTCGCTAGAAACCCTAGCGCCCACGACCCGACTCGCCTAACCCGGTTCGCGGCCGCCACACCGCGCCCAGGGGCTCGCCTGAACACCGGCCGCCGCTCCGACGTGGAGCGCATGCCCGGCCACTGCCCGCCGGACCCTGACCCCCGCGGTCAGGGTTTCCGGTCTGGCGGCCGAGCCCATGCTCGGCCGCCACCCGCCGAGCCGACCAGCCGCGTCACCGCCACGGCGACCGGCGACCGTCCGGGACTGTCCAAGCCTCGACGAGAGGCTGATCAGTCACGGACCAGCCAGATCCCGACAAGGGATTGGCTCTGCACTTCTTCCCGCGGTCACGCCCGGATCGCTGCGGCCACCGGCGGTACGCCGGGGCCGTCTGACATTCCCAAAAAAGCAGCAGAACAGAGAAAAACCCATGAAATTTGGTTCGGGCAAAGCGTCAAACAGTCGGTGCGCGCGATGAAAACGGGAGATTTTAGGCTTGATGGAGCCTCAAAACGGACTCAAATCATCAACATAAGACACACGGAGGAGAAAGAACAAGCACGAGGCGTCACGGGCCGAAACTCGCGCGAGCCGAACGGCCGCGAGCTCCGGCCAGTGAGCCCGAAACAGAGAACGACAACAAAAACAGGGGAGCAGATCCGGTTGAAGGTATTGCAAAAATAGGAGGTTTCCGGCGCGATGGAGGCTCGAAACAGATCGGGAATCTCGACACGACATGCGAAGAAGCAGAAGCGAGCACGGGGACGTCACGGGCCGGAACTCGCGCGAGCCGGACGGCCGCAAGCTCCGGCCAGTGAGCCCCGAAAACAGAGTGCAAAGAAAAACAGGGGCGACGGTTCCTTGCAACACTCCCTACCCGACTCGGCGACGGCGAATGGAGGACGAACGCGGTGGATCGGGCCACATCCGCGCGCCTCGCACACCTACGACCCGAGATCCTCGGAAGACCGACCCCGAATCGAATCAAAACGAAACAAAACCCGGCGAGCGCTCGGGACCGGGACCTACCGTGACAAAGGATTGTCGGCCGCGACTTGGGCACGGCGGTCGCCCGCGAAGGACCCTTCCGTCTCGACCTCTCACTCTCTCGAATCTCTCTCACCGATCTCTCTCTCTCGGGTCCCTGCCTCTCTCCTTCACGACCAGATCTGGTCTTAAAGGAGCTGGCCGGCACGCCCGCGTGGCCCCTGTTGCCGGTAGGCGCGCATGGCCTCTACCACCGCCAGGCTGCCGCGGCCGGCCAATCTCGCGACCCGCAGATCGCGCTGCCATCCCCGTGCCTCTGGCTCCTGTTCCGCCCATCTGTGGCGTTCTGCCACTGTTCCGGTCTTCTTCCCTGTACGCTTCAGCAACGTTGACTGGGGAGGGGGAGCTGAACAGTGCGTAGGCCGGGCCGTGGGAAATGGGCCGGCCCGCGCGAAAATAGAAAAGGGAACATGGGCCGCGCGCAATAAAAGAAAAACAGGGGGAAAAAGAATGGGCCGACGAACTCGGCCCGGAAATCTTTTTTTTTTTTTTTTCGATTATGTCCTAATAGACCATATTAATACAAATGCACATAATGTCTATATGCCATGCAATTTAATGAAAATATTTTTTGTTTAGTGGTTTAAAAATTAAACCCTAAAAATTTTATGCGATAAAGCCCTAAATGATTTGGGTAAAATTTAGGTGTCAACAACCGAAACAGGAGGTTTATTAGTGACCATACCCAACTCAGGGCGTTGGCCGAGGGGCCTTCCCATCCGATGTGAGTGACTTGCTTTGCATCCGTGGGAAACCCAATTTGCAATTCTTGCTCCTTTTTGTTGTCTGCACGATTCAAAATGCCAAACTCTTAATTTCAATCTCTAAGTATCATCATTGTCAAGCGCTTAGAGCAAGCATGTTAATCGATGTTTCTTTCCGCTGAAGGCTTTTGAATCAAGGTGGTGTAATTTCAATCAAGTTTCCCACGATTGATGTGACAGTAATTTTCTTGTCATGGGACTCCAGATGGAGGGGGATTGGAATAGATACGACTCGCTCTACCGTTAACACGATAACCAGTAGGCGATAAACATTTGTTCTCCAACTTATTGTTGGCGTCGACATACTACTTAACTCATATTCACCGACTCGAAATGGAAAGGGAAACGGAGTCAGGACGCACCAAACATATGTGAAATACATCTCAGGCCTTTGAGGAGGCCCGTCACTTTCGTCGGCATTTCCTCTGAGAAGTGGTGGTCATTCTAGGATGGCTCCCGAGCTTCAGCTATGAATAGAGGAGGAAGCGTTAAGGACGCTGGTTAACCATTCCAGTCAAAAAAACAAAGGTTGGATAATATCAGAAAATCAGAAATTTTGTCACACCAAACTCACATGTAGGATTATGGAGAGAATTGTCCTAAAGACACTTGATAAGGACCAACTAGTATCAAAATGATGCCATGGCGAATCTCGGCTCTGTTGAACTGTTAGTCATGAGCAGAAGCTCAGCCATCTTGACATTGCTCTGCCCGACCAGCACAATACCATTCTCTTTTGCTCTAATATAAGGATCGCTAAACGAGTCAGTTTGCAAGATCAAAAATGTCAAAGAGCTACGGCAAAGAGGTGGCCACACTCTGAATGTGCACTCGTATGCTCAAGCCATCAATCTGCGATTATTATCGTTGAGATGTACAAGGAAGACGGCCATGAGACGAGATCTTATGACTTTTGTTCGTCAATAACGAAAATGGATTGACATGTTGCAGACACAATCAGGTTGGAACGCGCTTGTTGTTTCAGTTTTTCCTTTGCCAGTCAATGAAAACCAGTAATATGACCCCGCTTAATTTGGTAAAATAACTCTGCCTAGGTCCAGCCCACCCGCTGGACATCTCCGAGCTACCCCGCCTCATCGAGGAACTCTGTCAGCCTGAATCGCAGCTCAAGACCTAGCTCATCAGGCACAAGCTCGTCCGAGAGACCGCATCCCTTGTCCTTTGCTTGCAAGTTATAACTTTTTGGTTCTGTCTATTTAGCATTGTCTCATACTGGTGTGGTGTGCTTGTTTTACCAATAAAGGAGCGCCTTTTTGTGGTCTGGTTCTGAAATGAAGACCAAAAATGCAAAAGTAAAGTGACCAGACGTTTGCTTGCCAAAGGGGGAGGGAGGTTTGGGATTATAGTAGATTCGCCATGGAATAAAGCTGTCATCATGAAGCTAATATGGCGGTTGCTTGTGGATGCCGGTCCTTAGTAGATTGCTAGGGTGAAAGCTTATGTTTCAAAATAGAAGAGCTTTTGGCAGATTCTTTCCTCTGGTTCTTCCTCTCGTATTTGGGGGAAGCTTATTAAACTTGGGGCAGAGATAAAGCCCCTTGTTCAATATGCTGTTTGTGATGGTAAAAGGATCTTCTTATGGTTTGATCCATCGCTTCCTATGGCGCCATTGCTGGAAAAGTTTTCTTGCTAGATGGTATACAATTCAGGGCTTTCATTGCAAGCTATAGTAGCTTATGTAATCACGAATGGAAACTGGGTGTTGCCGATTGCAAGATCAGAGGTTTCCCTTGATTTAATCTGCTCTATGGGGTGTTGTATATTCTTATCCATGGCAGGCGGATCAGGTGGTTGGAAGGCAGCTTCTTCAAAGAAATTTGCAGGTAATAGTGCATGGAGCAGCATAAGAACTTCAGCAATGAAAGTGGCATGGCTCAAATTAATATGGTTTACTCCAAACATGCCAAAGCATAGTTTCATCTGTCAGCTTGCTATATTGGATGAACTCTCAACAAAGGAGGTATGCTGGTATAAACGACAATCGTGGTTTGTGTAATGCGTGTCTCGAATCCAGAAATCATTTGTCCACAGAATGTGCCGTTGCTAAGGAGGTTCGGAGCAAGATTCATGCCGTGTATGGAGTTACTAAAGTTGGGTTCAGCTGGGACTCGGAGTCGAAGTGGGCATGTAGTACTTGGAAAGGCAAATCCATCTCAAATATTGATGTTTAAAGTGGCTTGATGTGTTGCATGGCAGTAGCTTTGTGTTTTCTAGCAATATTGCTTTCTCTAAGATCCATCTTGATGTTTTGTATGGGCAAAGAGATTTGAAGATTAGTGAAACCGGCATCTTCACACCATGTGGAGATTTGTGGAGCTTGGAGGTTGATGTAAAGTGAGGCTTGTTGCTGCATTTTGGTTCCTCTTGAAGCAGGTTTACTCTGCTTTGTTTATTGAATCAATAAAACTAGAAAAGAGATTTCTATTTAGCTCTATCATATTTTTTTCCCCTTTTCTCTTTTATGATGGGTTGACCCTCCAAAGCAGCAAAAGCAGTAAAAAAGCAAGAAGCATAAGGAGAAGGTAACTTCTCCAACCCCCTCTCTCCCTTTCTTCTTTGGGAAGCAAATGAACTGATTATGCAAGCGTAACCACCACGCTTTCTATTTGCTTCCTCAAATGCTCTCGGATTCGAGACTCAAAACCTAAACCTCACATCCTGAGTATTAGGAAGTTTTGAGAAATTTGGGGATCGGGATTTAGTTTAGAGATTTTAAGAATTATGATTAAATTTAGAAAATTTGAAAATTGAGTTCGAACAATTTTGGACGAAGATGTCCTTATCCATGGTGCAAAGAGTGGCACCTGAGACACACGTGGACAAACTCATAAGTTTTCTTTTCTTTTTCTTTTTTTGCGATAATCTCCACTTTGAAAATTACTTTGGAAAAAAATTGGACCTGCTGAAAATTTCTATTTATTTTTTTTAGTTTTATGAAACGACCCTTTCGAAAAAGGCAAAAATACAGTACTAATGAATGCCTTTTGTTTTGTCACCCTTACCATTACAAGTAACGGAGAGGAAGTGGACGTGTTTTTCATCGTTCTGCTCCAACGTTCTGCTCCAATGGCTGCTTCGCCTTCTCAACTTCCACGCTCCGTGCCTCCAAATGCTGAAGAAGAAGAGGTTCTCTCTCTCTCTCTCTCTCTCTCTCTCTCTCTCTCTCTCTCTCTCTCTCTCTCTCTCTCTCTCTCTCATGTACTTTTTGTGGTTCTTTGGTCCTCGATTTCTTAGTATTTTCATGAGGGTCTTCGAGATTTCTTGCTTTTGACGAGAAGTGAGGACATGTCGTGTTCTTCCCGTGTTTTTCTCAACTGGGTCCGGCCTGAAGGAGGTAAACTAGAGAAGGCAAGACGATGTAGTGGAAAAGAAACATCTCTTTGGTGGAACGCCTTGTTGAAACTGGAAAATCAGTGCGATCGGGATTTTTTTTTTCTGTTTTGTGTTGCCGTTCCGTTTGAGATATTTGCTTGGTGGAGTTCTAGTTTCAAGCCAGTGGCTAAGTTGATACTTGGAAAAACGTTTAGAGGCTTTGTGATTGACTTGCTGTTCAAAACAGATACCCGGTTCTTTCTCGGTTCTCTCAGGTTTTTTACAACTTTGTTCATTCTATGGATGTTGATTGGATTCTCAGTTTGTCACCATCTTCGGAACCCCATTTGTTTTTGTTTTTGTTTTTTTTGTTGCTTAGGTGAATCTATACTTGAAGATCACCAAGACAGTGGCCCTGAGAGCTAGGAGAGATTCGACCGTGAAGCATATTAAAGCATCGATTCAGGACAAGGAACAAATCGATGAACATAGTCAGCGGCTTTTTTTTGGAGGCGATCATCTCGAAGATGGAAAAAGACTAGTTGATTATGGCATCCATGGTGACTCCACGCTCCATCTCATCTTTCGGGACTCGACTAGGATTACAGTAAATGTCGAGATCTCATTGACCCAGAAAAATTTGCTGGTCGAAGCAAGGCGTCTGGATACTGTTCGAAATGTTAAACTGATGATTCAAGCCAAGGAAGGGATACGGCCGGATGAGTTCACTCTGGTATTTGGTGGAAAGGTGCTTGCGGAGGACAGGACCCTCGCCTCGCTCGACTTGCTGCCAGAACCCACATTTCATTTGGTTTACCTTCCCAAAGATGATGTGTCAATTATTGTCGACACGTCCAGTCGCAAAGTCACATTAGGCGCTAAATCTTGGTACACTGTGCGTGATGTCAAAGCCATAGTTGGAGCGATGATGTCGGCACAGGTGATGAGTTCGCATATGGTCTATCAGGGGAGGAAGCTTGAGGATCACGCGACCTTAGCTTGTTACAATGTTGCGGATGGCTCTGTCTTAGAATTGGTGTCTCCTCTGTTTTATTTCTTCGATTAGCCTCATAGTAAATGAAATGCCGTGAGTTTGTAAGTACTGAATGATCAGCGTCATAGTTCTGACTTGGCTGCTGAATTAGAATGGACTTTTAATGGAAAGCGGGAAATTAGTGTCTGACATTTATGCAACTGATGCTAATTTTCTTGGTATGTCATTAGTACATCATGTGCAATGAAGGTCTAGTGTATATCTCTGCTTCCCTACATCGAATATCTACACATTGTAGAATCACAGCAGTACATTATATTTCCGTTTATTCTGTTTGATCAATGTTGTTTGCTGAAATCTTAATCTTAGACGTACCTATTTCAGTAGAAGCACCCTGGAATACTTCTATTTTTTATTAGCAGCACCCAAGGGAACTCGGATGTAGGTCTGGTTTTTCTATTTAGTAGTTGTTTCATAGTTGCTAAGATTTTCTGGAATCGATTTGTGCGAGCAAATGTTTGAGCACATGATGGTTTTCGTATATCTGACTGCACATAATCATTATTTGGAAAGAAATGTACCCACGACAGTAATGGTAAGACGAAGAGTAAAGAAATCTTTTGCGGGCAGGTGATCAGTTATTGTTCGTATTCACTGGCAGTATGTATTTAGACACCTTTTCTTGTCTGCAAATAGCTATCTATAAGAAAGCAACTCTCTTTAAAGTCGATACCCTGATTACTTGTGTTTAGTTACTTCATTAGTTCTTATCAAATGAAAAATGGGTTTGCTAGTTTACCTGCCTGACTTCTTGATAGAAGTTGCAAATGTTGCTCGAGTGTGTTTTTAGCCCCGGGATTTGTATTTGGGCTCGGGCAATCTTAAGCACGCACCTTTAATTTTTGTCAATGGTTGAAACACGGCACCCTCAATTTGAGCTACATGTCTTGATGCAAGTGTTCTCTGAGAGCCTACCAAAGTATCCATCTTCCACTTAAGCAAATTTTTAGCAGAAAATGTTCTTAGAACAAGAATCTCAACAAGAGAGACAACCTGGTTTTTGGAAGATTTTGTCCATGTCTTTACAATTTGCATGTACACTAATCACTTTTCACCCTTTCCCTTCTTCGGTCACTTCGGTAACTGTGCTGAGATGACTCTGAATCTTCTTTAGTCCTTGTCCATGCTCGGACCCTGATCCATGCTCTGTCAATGAGGATATATCATTTGAGGGACTTTGCCCTTTTGATCTCAATGTTCTCATACGGACGTGGCCAATTTGTGGTGCCGCCTCAGATGCTTCGTCGCGCCGGAGCCATGCTTGGAAGGTGAGGGTGAACCAAAGCCGGTAGATAGTAGGCGTCTCAGTGAGTCCTGTGGGTCCTTAATGTTTTGCGAGAGCGAGTCCTGGCCATTTCATTTAAGTAGATGAAGTAAAGAAACAACCCCAAGTGGTTCCTGCCAAACCAGTGGGGTTAAACATAAAGAAAGGCAATACATGAAAGCGAGGCCCGGCGATCTTGGATACGTACCTTCAACATCCCCATGACTGACTCAACTGAAGTTCTGTGATCCTACTCCACTTCCGCTTTGATTTTCTCTCCGCACTTTGTTTCTGCCTTGTGGGCGATCCTTTGATCTCAATCCATGGATATGGTTACCCGAGCGATGCATCTTTAGCTTTGATGAGAGTAGTCTGAATTCCAGTGCTACATCTTGTAGAACTTCGAGTCAATCCCTGATGATCACTACGGACTCTTGTTCTCAAGAGTCCGATGCTCAAGGTTCCTCTGATGGTGGGGTTGCGCTCGAAGCTTTACCCGTTGCTTCGCCGTCTCAACTTCCACCGTAAGAGGTTCTTTCTCTCTCTCTCTCTCTCTCTCTCTCTCTCTCTCTCTCTCTCTCTTCTTTCTTTCCGGGGTCTCATGTTCGTTTCGTCCTTTTTTGGGTTCTTGATTTCTTGGTATTTTCATTAGGGTTTCGACATTCTTGCTTCTGACGAAAAGTGTGGACATGGTCATGTTTTTTTCCCTATCCTTGTTGAAACTGGAAAATCGGTGCGATCTAGGAATTCTATTCTTTTTCTTGCGTTGCCGTTCCATTTGAGATATTGCTTGGTGAAGATCTAGTTTCAAGCCAGTGGGTTAAATTTATCTGGAAAAAAAGTTCAGAGGCATTGTGATTGACTTGTGAAGGTCTAGTTTCGAGCACTTGCTGTTCAAAACAGGTACCCATATATGTCCCGTCGGTTCTTTCGGGTTTTTGATGTTGATTCTATTTGCGGTTTGTTCTCGTCTTTGGAACCCCATATCTTTTTCTGGTGCCGTAGGTGATTCTAGACTTGGAGATCACCAAGAGACTGGCCCTGAAAGTTGATAAAAACTGGGCCGTGGAGCTTATCAAAGCATTAATTCAGGACAGGGAACAAATCGGCAATGAACATAGTCAGCAGCTTTCTTTCGGAGGGAGGCATCTCGAAAATGTATGGAATGCACGGTCACGCCACAATCCATGTCATAAGGACTCGGCTAAAATGACAATAAATGTCCAAATGTTATCGACTCAGAAAAACTTGCTGGTCAAAACAAGGAATCGGGATACCATCCAAGATGTTAAATCGTTGATTCAAGCCAAGGAAGGGATTCTGCCGGATGAGTTCAATCTGTTTTTCAGTGGAGAGGTGCTTGCAGAGGACAGGACCCTCGCATCGCTCGACTTGCCACCAGAGCCCACATTTTATTTGGTTTTAAATCCCAAAGAACACTAAACTTTGGTTCACTGTGAGTTATGTCAAAGCTATGGCCATAGCAAAGATGTCTGCGCAGGTCATGAGCTTTCATATGGTCTATCAGGGAGCAGCTTGAAGATCACATGGCCTTAGCTTATTACAACATTGCGGATGGCTCTGTGTTACAATTGGTGTCTTCCTATGCTCCATTTCCGATATTTGTCGAGTGCAGGAATGGTAAGACTGTTGCACTTGAGGTTTGGAGGTCTGACACGGTCAAGGAAGTGAAGAACAAGCTTCTTCGTAAGCTGCAGGTGAGTGCACCGGCTAAATTGCATGATATTGCTTATGTGGGACAAAGGCTTGCTGATGACCGTGACCCGGCAAGCTATGGCATCCAGGAGAATTCGACTCTCTTTGGGATTACCTCGCCTCATGATATATGAAATGCCTCGAGTTTGTAATACTGAGTGATCAGGATTATAGCTCTGACTTGGCATTTGAATTAGAAGGAATTTTGAACGGCAAGCTGGAAATTAGTATCTGACATTTATGCACCTGATGCTAATTTTTTTGGTATGTCATTAGTACATCATGTGCGATGAAAGTCTTGTGTATATCTTTCAGTTATTCTGTTTGATCAATGTTGTTTGCTGAAAGCTTGATCTTTGACCCACATAATTCAGTAGAAGCACCCTGAAAAACTTCTACTTTTGATCGGCAGCACAAGAGAGAGCTCGGAGGTAGGTCTGGTTTTTTCATTTAGTAGTCGTTTCGTGATTGTTAAGAATTTCTGGAATCAATTTATGCAAGCAAAAGTTTGAGCACGTGATGGTCTTCTTATATATGATTTTGGATATCATTGTTTGGAAAGAAATGTAGCCACGACAAAAGTGGTAAGACGATGAGTTATGGTTGGTTATTGTTTGTGTTCACTGGTATTATGCATTTAGACACCTTTTTGTGTCTGTAAACTGCGATCTTTTTAGAAAGCAACTCTTTTATAAGTTAACAGATTGATTACTTGCATTAAGTTACTTCACTAATTCTTTTCCCAATGAAAATTTGGTTTACTAGTTTACCTGCTTGACTTGTTGATAGGAGTTGCGAATGTTGCGCGTTTGGGCCCGGGCAATCTTAAGCACACACGTTTAGATATTGTCAATGGTTGAAACATGGCACCCTCAAGTTGTGCTACATGTCTTGATGGAAGTCCGAGTCTAGAAGTCTTTCATTATGTGAGCCTTCGAGCGCTCTTGTGGTCTTCATGAACCTGCCAAAGTATCCATCTCCACTGACCCAAATTTTAGCAGAAAATGTCCCTAGAACAAGAAACTCAACAAGAGAGACAACCTGGTTTCGGAAGATTTTGTTCAAATCTTTACAATTTGCATGTACACTAATCACTAATCACTTTTCACCCTTTCCCTTCTTCAGACACTTCGGTAACTGTGCTGAGATGACTCTGAATCTTCTTTAGTCCTTGTCCATGTTCAGACCCTGATCCATGCTCTGTCAATGAGGATGCATTATTCGAAGGACTTTGCCCTTTTGATCTCAATGTTCTCGTCGACCCACCACCAGATAAACCCTTTGATTTCCTCCTCCGTGATTGCTTCGACACCAAGGCGGCATCATGTGAGGATGACTCTACCCCAAGACCCAAATTCTGGTTTCTTCTAGAATGTCGGGTGGAGCGCGATGATTCTTGAGTTGGGGCATCAGCAGACGTGGCGGATTTGCGGGGCCGCCTCAGATGCTTTGTCGCATCAGAGCCACGCTTGGAAGTCGAGCTCTGAGGTGAGCCAAAGTTCGTAGATAGTAGGCTTCTCGGTGAGTCCTGTGCGTCCTTAATGTTTCGCAAGAGTGAGTCCGGGCTTCCTGCCCCAGTTTGCTTCATATCTGTTGCAACGACAAGTTTGCACATAGAGAACAAGATTATGGTTATTTGTGCTAAATGTGTTAACAATGAATAATCTTTTGGTGATTCTAGATGCATATTTTAGGAGGAACCGCGGAACCAACTTTCCGATACTGATTGGATGGAAGGGTCTGTGGTCTCACCCAGAGGATCAACCGGCTGCAACGTGAGTTGCGGAGTCGAATCAAACTCGTTCATCTGCATTAGGATGCAGAGTATTAGCTTCTGCCCTATGGCTAATGAAACGATTATTATGACAAAGACTTCAGGGAAGTGATCTCAATGCTATTTCTTTCAATGTCCTCTTCATTAGATGGAGCGTCCTTGCTTGTCTCAGTGAATTGTCAAGAAGCATTACCATGGGAAATGGTGACTGGTTTTGGGATATCATTCAAATGCATCATGTATATGAGTCCCCACAAGTTAATCTCTATATAATTGCCTTCGTATATTCTTTAACTGATCATCAGACCATTCAACTCTGCGATGCCCAGAAAAATGGAGGCACTGAAAGAAGAGGAGGTTAAGCAGTGACCATACCCAACTCGGGGCGTTGGCGGAGGGGCCTTCCCATCCAATGTGAGCGACGTGCTTTACATCAGTCGGAAACCCGATCTGCAATTCTTGCTCCTTTTTGTTGTCTACACGATTCAAAATGCCAAACTCTTGTCAGTTTCAATGTCTACGTATCATCGGTTTTCGAGTGCTTAACAAGCATGATAATCGATGTTTCTTTCCGCCAAATGCTTTTAAATCGAGGCGGTGTGATTAAACTCTAGTTTCCCGTAATCGATGTGATAGTAATTCTCTTGTCATGCGACTTCAGATGGAGGGAGATTGGATTAGATATGACTCGCTCTACTGTTAACATGATAACCAGCAGGCGGTAAGCAATTTTTCTCCGCGACTTATTGTTGGCGTTGACATACTACTTAACTCATATTCACCGACTCGAAATGGAAACGGAAACAGAGTCGGTACATACCGAATATTTGCGAAATACATCTCAGGCCCTTGAGGAGGCCCTTCACTTTCGTCGGCATTCCCTCTGAGAAGCGATGGTCGTTCTAGGATGGCTCCAGAGCTTCAGCTATGAATAGAGGAGGAAGTGTTAAGAAGGCTGGTTAACCATTCCAGACAAAAGAAACAAAGGTTGGATAACATCAGAAAATCAGAAAGTTTTGTCACACCAAACTCACATGTATGATTATGTTGAGAAACGCCAAGGTGATCTCAGCTCTGTCGGACAGTTTGTCAGGAATAGAAGAACGGCCATCTTGACATTGCTCGGCGCGACCGGCAAAACACCATTCTCTTCCGCTAATCTAAGGATCACTAATCAGGCTTGGTTTTGCGAGATCAAAAATGTTGAAGGGCTGGCGGCGGAAGAGGCGGTCGCACTCCAAAGATGCGTTCCTAATGCTCGAATTGGTCGATCCGCGACAAGACGAGTGCTTATGACTCTTTGCGTTCGTCAAAAACAAAGATGGAATGACATGTTGCAGACACAATCTTGGTTGGGACGCGCTTGTTTGTTCCAATCTTTTGCTGTGCCAGTCAATCAAAACCAGTAATTTTGACCCCGATTAATGGGGTAAATCAAGGTTAAACAGAAACCAGAGATGCCAAAAGTTCTCTATATTTAGGGAAGGGGTGGTTGAACGGGTCTCTGAGAAAAGCGCGGGAACAACGGTTGGACAGGTGGTTATCCATCTAAGAAAGCTTGTGTTGCCGGTGCGTGCCCCGTGTGACTTACGATGAGGCGAAAGGATAGCTAAAGGGCTCGGAACAGCACCGTCTCACGGTCCATCGATCGCTGAATGCGAAACTCTTAGTTCCTTCTTTGTGTCGAAAGAATGGGGAATATACTGCACTTAATATCTAAGATGAAAGCAATGTGATGCTCCAAAAGCACCTAATAATTGTTCAACCGAGGCTCTGGATTGTTATGAGAATATCATCGGGCACGTCATTGCTGGAAGGCGAAACATTAGATTAGCGTGAATTCCGGTACATTCATATCCGGGGAAACAATATATGATTAGCTAGATTGAATTTGTGCGAGATCCATGCTATTTAATATCAGGTATAACAGTGAAATAAGATAATGATCAAGAGCTATTCTCGTACTATCTTTGCAAACTATTGTTCTAATTGTGAGCCAAGTGGATTTCGATGGCAACATGCAATTTTCAGTTCAATTTCCTTTGAGGGTCTCTTTTATAAGTCAGCATTCAGTGGCTACAGAAAGTCAGATGTGTAATGGCTTATATTGTAAAGTTATAGAATGTATTATTAGTCCCATTCTCAGTTAATTCAAATCTGTTATCCGGTAAGCTGGTTATTCATTGTTCAAAATCACTTTCAAATTCAATTTAAGTAGATTTCCTGAGATTTACAAGGCTAAGGGCAGTTGCTAATTAAGATTAAAATCAACAATGTATCGCATGGCGAATATACCTAAGAAAAGAGAAGGAATTTGTGCATTTTTCGGGATCTCAGAGGCGAGCGCGGAAACACATAAGAACCTATAAAGCTAATGAACCACAAGACAAGCACGGGAACGAACGTTCATCCTCGTTATAAGTTTAGTAATTTACGAAAGGAGATTTCGGCCTTTCCAGCAGAACAAAATCAGAAAGATCTTTCCTCCATCCCATGTTTTTACGTTGAAATAAGAAGAATTTACTTCTTCTAACAGAAGCCATGCCTTGGACATTATCACATCAATGGCTTTTCTATGGTCTCTTAAGGGACTAACTCCTGTCGCGCCTTGTCGTGATCAAGGCTCAATCTGTCGTACAATGTTACAACGCTAGGCGTCGTTATTATGATAAGCAATGACGAGGCACAATGAGAGATTGGTCCCCTGACCTGACGGACCACGGCCGGGCGCCCTTGTTTAGGGGCTTTTTCCATAGTCCCAGGAGTCTTTGGGCAAGACGAGACGAGGACATCTTATGTAGAGGAATTAATGAAAAATTAGCTAAAATTGCATCAGAAGTTTCTGACCAAACATAATGCTTACGGTGTTTTGCAAAATGGGTCGCGGTCTCAGCCTCTCACATTCAAGTCCAAACTCTAGTTTTCGTTTCCAAACAAGCTAGCCGCAGAAAAAAATACAGCAGATGATTAGAATATAAGCTTAAGTTTTAAATTCCAGAGTCTCCTACAGTAGTCGGCAACCTTCCCAAATTAATATGAACCACGTTCAACGACCGATAGTTTAGTATATGTAGATTGAAAAGCAATGCATGGACGGGGAAGCTTATGAGTGTGCTAGAAGCAGGCCGCCCTTGGTAGGTTTGATTCATTACGAAGCTTTCAGATCGTCCAAGCCAACACTAGCCTGTGTCAACAAAGTATATACATTTTAGTGGACAATCTTGCGAGGCATTGAAAGCTAAAACAATGGATACAAAAACATTGATGCCATGAAAAATGCGAAAGAGGGGCGACAAAGACTATGTTTTATTAACATAAAAGAAACATAAAGGGGAGATCAAAAACCTACATCAAACCAAATGCTAACATCATGTCCTCCTGATTTCACATTATTCCTCTGGATTTGATGTATTATAGTTTATTTGTCAAGAGGATGTCTTCGATAAGTTATTAGTATATATGTAAAAGTGAAATTAGTCATACTTGACAACGAAAATGTAAAGATAGAGGAGCAAGAATGACCATGTGCCCAGCCACTTTTTGTCACACAGTGCCCTATCTTAGTGCCTCAATCATATGTCAACTATATGCAATACAATAAGATATATAATAGCAAATCAAGAAATTCCATCTGTAACATTTTACCAGAAACTTGTGATTCTCCTCCAGAAGAGGAGAAAAGGTGCTGCAGAATTGCTCCATGTCAGCATTCACGTCACCAGAGCCGCCTATCACATCCATGAACTTCTTCCTATCAGGAGCAAGCTTCATGGCGACCTGTAATTCCCAGTACCCATATAAGAATAAACTTAGTAACAAAAAATTCTGATCCAAATTGACAAGAGGGTTTATTTCGTAAATTATGGATAGAGTATCTTTTCACGATCCACAAAATGTTCAAGTCTTCATTTTCATCACAAGCTCAACCACAACATACAGACTTTAAAGATTTCAAAGGTTCCCTGGGAAGTCTAAGTTGAAAGCAAGGGTGAAACAATACATCAATGAGAAGTTTATTTGATAATTTTAATGGATTTTTTGTGGAGGGAAAACCAAAACTCATCTTTCTTGAAAAGAGGAAGAAAAAATACGCACTTCATTAAGAAATTCTAAAATTAGAATCGAAAAGAAAGGGCCCCCGCTAATTAAAAAAAAAAAAAACGAAAGAGGGCTGGAATCTACACATTGATTCTTTTTTTTCGCAATTTTTGTTGAACCGTATGCATCAAAAGGTGCATGTACTGTGTATCTTGAAGCCAGAGAATAAACAAATGTTGCAGAACAACAATTAACTACAATATCTTTTTTTCTTTTGGCAAAAATAGATGGAGGAACTTCACAGGAAAGAAAGACTCAAATCCTAAGTTTTTCCAAATGATGCAACACTTGATGACCAGATAATCATTTGGCATTTTACGTCGATGTTATTCAAAAGAGTGATTTTTCACGAGGTGCAGTAAGTATTGGTTTGGCATGAAGACATTACAGTGAAACTTGAGCTTGCAAGCCAGCCATGCCACTTTTTGAGAGTCTTCCCATAAGAATCCGAGCAAGCTTGTGACATCGTCCAATCAGGATGAGTAAGCAAGTTGCGAAACAGTTCAACCAGAAAATCCATGGCTCTGTATAAAGCATAATGTGAGCAAGTCATCATGTCAACTGAAAAATACAGATGATTGAGCAATGGGTAGCTTTCTTAAAGGTTTGAAGACAACTGGTGGTCTAAAAAGGAATTCATTAACAGTGCAAAACTGGAAATGATACTGAGGAAAACCCCCCAGGAAAAATCCCAAAAAAAAGCTCTCTGGTAATGATATAAATGTGTTATGGTAATATTTTTAATTCTTGAAATGGAAACCTTTTACAATTTTTTTCTGACTGGAAGCTGTTCTGCAAGTATTCAATTATGGAACTTTTCCTCTGTTTTTGGAAAAGGCCTAGTACAGTAAGCATCAAAACAAACTTACTATTTTAATTTTTTTTACTATTATTCTCCAAAAATTGAATGAGAATACCAAGTGTATCACAGTACTATTAACTTATGGCAGAATTACAAGCTGGCAAATAATTGAGCCAGTGATCTTTAATGACCCAAAGACAATCTGATGAAGCAATTAGGTGCTTGAATAAATAGAATGGACCTAGAAAGCCATTAACAATTCTCTAGCAACAATACTCTGTATAGCAATTCTACTATGGTTTAGAGAACATAAGATTTTCAAGACTTTTGTCTTTCAAAATTTATGACGTACAATAAGTCAAAGGTGCTTTGGCATAATTGTTCATATCATTTTGCTAAATTGCAAAGAGTTTCAGAATAAACATACCAAACCAGCACTTAAACATGTCACATAACTATTCTTTGAAAATATTTACTGTGAGGTGCAAGCACACACTAGTATGCACAAGCATGCGTAGGTCAATCACAATTTTGTCAGATCTTAGAAGTTGCAAAGTCCATATTCTTGGAATTAATCACCTTAAATTTCAACAATTCACTGTCTTACTTTTCAGGGTATGCAGGAGAATCTCTGAATTTCTCTTTCTAATCAGCTTGCTTATCGGTTGTCACCAGTTAAATAATTTCAACCATCTTTCCATTTTATCCACTGACCCTTAAGCTTGAACCAAATAAATCAATTCTTATGTTCTGTACCTTGTCAACCAAAGAAGTCCATTTGTGCAACTAGAGGATGCCTTGGATGTTTTAGCTTCAACCTCTACTCGTACCATACTGTACAAGAGTTTGAATTGAGTTGGATTGGATTCATACTTAGCTTCCAGCCTCTACAAGCAAATTTAAAAGGCATGAGGTCATTTCAACAAGTACTTGACAAAGAGAGGTATCAGATCGCACTTGCTCACATAGGTACAAGGGAACTGAGAATATGACCTCAAGAAAATTGTCCTCTAAAATGACAATTGTCCGTACTAGATACCATAAAACCAATAAATATCAATTCAATTGCAGCCGGATACTTCAACAAGCACCTCACCTCTTTATGGCAAAATATCATAAAGAAAGGAAAATGGAGATTGTGCAAGCAAGGGATGTCACTAGGAAATTTCATTGGACAAGTGCATAACATTGTTCTAATAATATCCACTGAAAAATTTACAAAACAGAACAAAGAGAAGTTGTTCTTACTGATATATTTCCACCAATGTCAGATTTAACCAGTGCCATAGCAGCACCAAACTTTTCTGAAAAACAAAAAGGTAAATCCATATATTAGAAAGCTCTCCATGGCGAATCACAATGCTTTAAATGTAGAGACTATGACAAAACAAGTGTACATGTGACAATACGTTTTGTGCACAATGGATCTGAATGCTTCTTAAGTGCAACATTCAAAATTCTAAAAATCTTTAGGTACATGAGAAGGATGCAGAGCAGTCGGAAAAAAAGAAATAAGCATAGTGCCTTCTGCAAAAGCAAATGACCAGCTATGCAAGTAGTGCTTCTTGTATGCGGTTCTTTATCAAGACAACTGTATCTACCATCAGCCTGATTGGAATTCAGATTAATTTATACTTATTTAGTATAAGAACAATGTTTACACTTGGAAGTATCTCAGAAACCATAACGCCTGAGGGTAAGAATAACTATGGTGATGGAAGTTAGCTTGTAGCAGGATCTCACGATGATAGTACGAGGATAATATGCAGTACGAAAGCAGCTCACTCAATTTTTTATATGCAATCTGAGTACTTATCAATGCCATGCCTTTCATTTATAGTTTCTCTACAGCTTCGAATTTCCTAGCAAATTTGTGCATTACCCTGTAATTTCACGCTCATTTACACAAAGTCTAAAAAAGTTTATGAATGAGTTTCTGCAGGAGAAGTCCCTAATCAGATTAAGTATAATGCAACTCCCACCGGAACGGCTGAGCTACTTTTCAAGCTGAATCATGATAAGGACTCACCAATGACAGGCAAAATCAGTTTGCACACATCAAGAAAAGGCTTGGTCAGCATTTCCCCTTCTTCTGACTTGACGTGCTTCATGCCCTCCAATGAGGGAGCAAAAATGGTTCCCTCCATGTCGAAGCCAACTGCCCAAGCAGAGAAAAGGAGGCGTGAATGATAGTTTCGGCAGTCACACAACCAAGCTTCGCTCGGGCATTAATTTCCACGTGATACAGTAGGATACTACACCGTGCAAAGTATATCCATCTTGACAAAATAACCAAAGGAGGTGATGTTCACAATAATCAGAGCAAGTGCACAATGGGATGACCAAGAAAACACCATATGAATGAACGATTCGATGCCATCCCATATGAGTCTCAGATCACAAACGCGCACAAGCATTCAGCTTTTCCATCCACGAAATGGATGTATCAGGAGGAATTACAAGAAAACAGAGAAACGGGACCCTGCAGTGCACGGATCGCAGAAACAAGAAACACCCACGAGCCAGAACAATGAGAAACTCCAAGTCATCAATGCAAATCTCAAGATCACTCCAATGCGATGCTACAGACGAGATTCAAATTCCCTTCGTCGATCCGTTTGACATCTCACAAACAACAGGCAAACGAAAAACAAAAGAACCCACAAAGAAAACCAGAACCACGGACTCGCAAATCCAACCCGATCACATCACGTCAACCGCCACCCAAAAGGGACCGGGCGAAGCAAAAACCCAGCATTACAATCGATCGCGCAAGAGCGAACCGATCTTGGAAATGCACCTGAGACGGGATGGAGACGAACCCAACTCCGGCGAGAAGAAACCCACGACCGGAGAAGCCGAACTGCGAAGGCCTGCGGGATCGGATTCGGGAGCCGAGCGGAACGCAACCTCGCGAAAACGGAAGTGGAATTTTTCAAGAACCTGATTCCGAGGAAGCGTCGTGCGGAGTGAAGTCGGGCTCTCACGTTCGCGACAGAGTCAACAACGTGGACGAGGAGGATGTCGATCTGGTGGGAATTCCACGGATCGTGCGGACGCGAGATCGCGGCAGGGGAGAGAAGATATCCGATCTGGACCGTCGGTTACGTTCGTGTCGTTTCGTGTCGTGTCGAGCGAAAATGTTCCGAAGGAGAAATTATGATGAAAGTTTTTCGATTATGAGGAGATGAAATTGTTGTATCGATTTCGAGTTAGTCTCATTGCGCCGTGTTCCAACAATGTCGCTGTTGCATTAAATGTTGGGAAAATTTCAATTAAGGACCCCAAGTGGGGTCAAATTCTCAAAAAGGGGTCCAAAGTGAATATTGTGTCAAATAAGGGCGAAGTCTTGATCAGCTCAAATAAGGATGAAGTGCCAAATGTCTCAAATAAGGACCGGGTCCGTAGAGCCAAAATACGCTACGGCGGAGAGAAGATCTGTTCAAGACTCTAACAGAACTTTTTAACTTTTTATTATTTTCTTTCTTTTTTCCTTTTGTTTTTGTTCTTTTCCTTTTCCTTTTCTTTTTTTTTTATTTTCTTCCTCCGTCGGCCTTAGGCGAGGCCCTGGCTCTCGCGCGGCGGGGCGAGGCCGGCCGCCGGCCGGGCGAGGCTCGACCTCGCCGGCGTCGGCGAGGCCGGCCTCGCCGTTGCGCGGCGAGGTCGAGCCTCGCCGTTGTCGGGCGAGGCCGGCCTCGCCCGATTCGGGCGAGGTCGAGCCTCGCCGTTGTCGGGCGAGCCGCCTCTGGCCATTGCGGGCGAGGTCGAGCCTCGCGCCGTTGTCGGGGCGGCCGGCCGCGCCGATTGCGAGGAGGTCGAGCCTCGCCGGATCTGCGAGGCTCGACCTCACCCGACGCCGGCGAGGCTCGACCTCGCCCGACGCCGGCGAGGCTCGACCTCGCCAAGAATCGGGCGAGGCCTGGCGAGGTCGAGCCTCGCCGCAACCGGGCGAGGCCGGCCTCGCCCGACACCGGCGAGGCTCGACCTCGCCCGCACCGGCGAGGCCGGCCTCGCCCGACGCCGGCGAGGTCGAGCCTCGCCAGCGGCCGGCGAGGCCGGCCTCGCCCAATGCCGGCGAGGCTGGCCTCGCCTGAGGCCGGCGACCTCCGCCGGCCCCGGCTATGGCCGGCGGAGGAAGAAAATAAAAAAAAATAAAAAAAGGAAAAGAACAAAAACAGAAAAGGAAAAAAGAAAGAAAATAATAAAAAAGTTAAAAAGTTACTGTTCCGGGCCGGAACAGTAACTTTCTCGCCGGCCGGCAGGTATTTTGGCCGGCCGGGGACCCAAGTCCTTATATGAGACATTTTGGGCACTTCGGATCCTTATTTGAGACTGATTGAACACTTCATACCCTTATTTGACACAATGTTCACTTTGGACCCCTTTTTGAGAATTTGACCCCACTTGGAGTCCTTAATTGAAATTTTCCCAATAATGTTTTGATGCATCAAAGCGAAGCACAATGTTTGGATTGATGAGGTTTTTTTCTTTATGATAGGGATAGGCAACCATGGCTGGCGACTCCCTTTGGATGTTACTGTACCCGCTACAAAATTTTTACACCCCCGTGAAGCAGAAGGTCCGAGGTTGGCAAGCCCGTTGGTTCCCAAGAGCACGATACTAACAGCCAGGAAGTACCCTGTCAACTTTCGTACCCCTGTCAAGTACCCTCCTCACCCTAGGAGATCTACAATTTCCATCTTCAAAGGGAGGCCCCTAACTCTACGAAACAAACCCGCCGCCCGCCGCGCCCCCGCCCCACCCCAATTTCCGATGCGCCACCACTAGACCTGATCAACAGGCAAGCGACCGCATACTCGACTCTCACCTCTCTCCATCCGGCTCAAGCCCAACCGGAGCAAACCGTGCCCTAGAATCATAAGTCCTTATCCAAACCCACCTGAAAGTGACTCTTGTCCCTTGTGGCTCGAGCTAGGCCTAGGCGAGCCCGTGAGCCATGAAGCTCACAAAAGCTTTTTGCACTTTCCCTACGAACCAACTTGGTCCGACCGAGTGCCATGACTCCAGCGTTCCGCAAAAATGCCGCTTATCTCAGTAGAATTTCTAAACCTTTTCTTTCCGGATCCGATCATCCTCACGAGCTCGAGATCAAGACGTGCCCACGCTCACAATAGATTCCTCGATTCCTAAGGGATGAGAAAAGGTGGCAAGCATTTGACCAAAGAATTCATAAAAAAAACTTGTTCAAGAACTTCAAATATTCCCATAAGAGGGTGCCAAACTTGGGTGCGCCATGTCCATGCACGATCTTGAATTTGCATATATGAGAAAGGGGAAGGCCGTATATGATGCCCTAATTTAACTAGGCCACCGCCAGTCATAAAAAAATCATTGTTAAACTCGGCCTGGAGCACCGAGGATCTATTAATAATGAAAAGCTTTGATCGTGAAAGCACGAGGAAAGATGCGATAAGGTAGAAGTGATCTCGTGCTCATCTCGAGAGCATCATCGGCCTGACCGGGATTATCGCACTTACATATCCATAATGAAAAAAAGTTTTGAACTTTATTTCTGTCCCAAGGTGTTTCATGGCATCTTTGAACGATATGACCCTCGATCGGTGTCGATTATACGACTAATCTCCCGTCACACCTTGTCGTGATCAAGGGCTCAATCTGTCGTAGAATGTTACGACGTTAGGCGTCGGAATTATGATAAGCATAAACCCTGGTTATGCCGAGGCATGACGACAGCACCCTTGTTTAAGGGCTTTTCTATGGTCCCAGGAGTCTTTAGGCAAGACGATACGAGGACATTTTATGTAGAAGAATTAATGAAAAATTAGCTAAAAGTGCATCAGAAGTTTCTGACCAAACATAATGCTTACGGTGTTTTGCAAAATGGGTCGCGGTCGCAGCCTCTCACATTCAAATGCGAACTCTAGCGTTCCCTTCCAAACAAGCTAGCCGTAGAAAAAAATACAGCAGATGATTAGAATATAAGCTTAAGTTCTAAATTCCAGAGTCTCCTGCAGTAGTTGGCAACCTTCCCAAATTAATATGAACCGCATTCAACGACTGATAGTTTATTATATGTAGATTGAAATGCAATGCATGGACGGGGACAGATATGAGTGCGCCAGAAGCAGGCCGCCCTTGGAAGGTTTGATTCATTACGAAGCTTTCAGATTGTCCAAGCCAACACTAGCCTGTGTAAACAAAGTACATACGTATTAGTGGACAATCTTGAGAGGCATTGAAAGCTAAACCAATGGATACAACAACATTGACGCCATGAAAGTTGCAAAAGAGGGGGAACAAAGACCATGTTTTCTTAACATAAAAGATAGATATAGGGGAGACCCAAATCTACATCAAACCAAATGCTAACATCATGTCCTCCTCTTTATTTGATGTATTATATAGTTAATTTGTCAAGAGGTGTCTTCGAGAAGTTATTAGTATATATGCAAAAGTGATATTAGCCATACTCGACAACGAAAATGTAAAGATAGAGGAGAAAGAATGACTATGGGTCCAGCCACTTTTTGTCACTTGCAGTGCCCTATCTTAGTGCCTCAATCATATGTCAACTATATGCGACACAATAAGAAATATAATAGCAAATCAAGAAATTCCATCTGAAACATTTTACCAGAAACTTGTGATTCTCTTCCAAAAGAGGAGAAAAGGTACGGCAGAATTGCTCCATGTCAGCATTCACGTCACCAGAGCCGCCTATCACATCCATGAACTTCTTCCTATCAGGAGCAAACTTCATGGCAACCTGTAATTCCCAGTACCCATATAAGAATAAACTTAGTAACAAAAAATCCTGATCCAAATTGACAAGAGGGTTTTCTTCCTAAATTATGGATAGAGTATCTTTTCACGGTCCACAAAATGTTCAAGTCTTCATTTTCATCACGAGCTCAACCACAACATACAGACTTCAAAGATTTCACAGGATCCCTGGGAAGTCTGAGTTGATAGCAAGGGTTTACTGTGTATCTTGAAGCCAGAGAATAAACAAATGTTGCAGAACAACAATTAACATACAATACCTTTTTTTTCTTTTGGCAAAAATAGATGGAGGAACTTCATAGGAAAGAAAGACTCGAATCCTAAGTTTTTCCAAATGATGCAACGCTTGCTGACCAGATAACCATTTGGCATTTTACGTTGATGTTATTCAAAAGAGTAATTTTTCACGAGGTGTAGTAAGTATTGGTATGGCATAAAGACATTACAGTGAAACTTGATCTTGCAAGCCAGCCATGCCACATTTTGAGAGTCTTCCCATAAGAATCCGAGCAAGCTTGTGACATCGTCCAATCAGGATGAGTAAGCAAGTTGCGAAACAGTTCAACCAGAAAATCCATGGCTCTGTATATAAGCATAATGTGAGCAAGTCAACATGCGAACTGAAAAATACAGGTGATTGAACAATGGGTAGCTTTCTTAAAGGTTTGAAGACGACTGGTGGTCTAAAAAGGAATTCATTAACAATGCAAAACTGGAAATGATACTGAGGAAAACCCCCCGAGAAAGGTCCAAAAAAAGCTAGCTGGTAATGATATAATGTGTTATGGTAATATTTTTAATTCTTGAAATGGAAACCTTTCCAATTTTTCTTCTGACTGGAAGCTGTTCTGCGGGTATTCAAGTATGGAACTTTTCCTCTTTTTTATAAAAGGCCTAGTACAGTAAGCATCGAAACAAACTTACTATTTTAATTTTTTTTCCTAACTACTTATTCTCCAAAAATTGAATGAGAATACCAAGTGTATCGTAGTATTATTAACTTATGGCAGAATCACAAGCTGGCAAGCCAGTGATCTTTTAATGACCCAAAGACAATCTGATGAAGCAATTAGGTGCTTGAATAAATAGGATGGACCTAGAAAGCCATTAACAATTCTCTAGCAACAATACTCTGTATAGCAATTCTACTATGGTTTAGAGAACATACGATTCTCAAGACTTTTGTCTCTCAAAATTTATGACGTACAATAAGTCAAAGGTGTTTTGGCATAATTGTTCAACATCATTTTTGCAAGATTGCAAAGAGTTTCAGGATAAACACACCAAACCAGCACTTAAACATGTCACATAACTATTCTTTGAAAATATTTACTGTGAGGTGCAAGCACGCACTAGTATGCACAAGCATGTGTAGTTCAATCACAATTTTGTCAGATCTTCGAAGTTGCAAAGTCCATATTCTTGGAATTAATCACCTTAAATTTCAACAGTTCACTGTCTTACTTTTCAGAGTATGCAGGAGAATCTCTGAATTTCTCTTTCAAATCAGCTTGCTTATCGGTTGTCACCAGTTAAATAATTTCAACCATCTTTCCATTTTATCCACTGACCCTTAAGCTTGAACCAAATAAATCAATTCTTATGCTATGTACCTTGTCAACCAAAGAAGTCCAATTATGCAACCAGAGGATGCCTTGGATGTTTTAGCTTCAACCTCTACTCGTACCATACTGTACAAGAGTTTGAATTGAGATGGATTGGATTCATACTTAGCTTCCAGCCACTACAAGCAAATTAACAAGGCATGAGGTCATTTCAACAAGTACTTGACAAAGAGAGGTATCAGATCGCACTTGCTCACATAGGTACAAGGGAACTGAGAATATGACCTCAAGAAAATTGTCCTCTAAAATGACAATTGTCCGTACTAGATACCATAAAACCAATAAATATCAATTCAATTGCAGCCGGATACTTCAACAAGCACCTCACCTCTTTATGGCAAAATATCATAAAGAAAGGAAAATGGAGATTGTGCAAGCAAGGGATGTCACTAGGAAATTTCATTGGACAAGTGCATAACATTGTTCTAATAATATCCACTGAAAAATTTACAAAACAGAACAAAGAGAAGTTGTTCTTACTGATATATTTCCACCAATGTCAGATTTAACCAGTGCCATAGCAGCACCAAACTTTTCTGAAAAACAAAAAGGTAAATCCATATATTAGAAAGCTCTCCATGGCGAATCACAATGCTTTAAATGTAGAGACTATGACAAAACAAGTGTACATGTGACAATACGTTTTGTGCACAATGGATCTGAATGCTTCTTAAGTGCAACATTCAAAATTCTAAAAATCTTTAGGTACATGAGAAGGATGCAGAGCAGTCGGAAAAAAAGAAATAAGCATAGTGCCTTCTGCAAAAGCAAATGACCAGCTATGCAAGTAGTGCTTCTTGTATGCGGTTCTTTATCAAGACAACTGTATCTACCATCGGCCTGATTGGAATTCAGCTCAATTTATACTTATTTAGTATAAGAACCATGTTTACACTTGGAAGTATCTCAGAAACCATAACGCCTGAGGGTAAGAATAACTATGGTGATGGAAGTTAGCTTGTAGCAGGATCTCACGATGATAGTACGAGGATAATATGCAGTACGAAAGCAGCTCACTCAATTTTTTATATGCAATCTGAGTACTTATCAATGCCATGCCTTTCATTTATAGTTTCTCTACAGCTTTGAATTTCCTAGTAAATTTGTGCATCACCCTGTAATTTCACGCTCATTTACACAAAGTCTAAAAAAGTTTATGAATGAGTTTCTGCATGAGAAGTCCCTAATCAGGTTTAGTATAATGCAACTCGCACTGGAACGGATGACCTACTTTTCAAGCTAAATCATGATAAGGACTCACCAATGACGGGCAATATCAGTTTGCACACATCAAGAAAAGGCTTGGTCAGCATCTCCCCTTCTTCTGACTTGATGTGCTTCATGCCCTCCAATGAGGGAGCAAAAATGGTTCCCTTCATGTCGAAGCCGACTGCCCAAGCAGAGAAAAGGAGGCGTGAATAATAGTTTCGGCAGTCACACAACCAAGCTTCGCTCGGGCATTAATTTCCACGTGATACAGTAGGATGCTACACCGTGCAAAGTATATCCATCTTTAATACTTGACAAAATAACCAAAGGAGGTGATGTTCACAATAATCAGAGCAAGTGCACAATGGGATGACCAAGAAAATACCATATGAATGAACGATTCGATGCCAACCCATATGAGTCTCAGATCACAAACGCGCACAAGCATTCGGCTTTTCCATCCACGAAATGGATGTATCAGGAGAAATTACAAGAAAACAGAGAAACGGGACCCTGCAGTGCAGGGATCGCAGAAACAAGAAACACCCACGAGCCAGAACAATGAGAAACTCCAAGCCATCCATGCAAATCTCAAGATCACTCCAATGCGATGCTACAGACGAGACTCAAATTCCCTTCGACGATCCGTTTGACATCTCACAAGCAACAGGCAAACGAAGAACAAAAGAACCCACAAAGGAAACAAGAACCTCGGACTCGCAAATTCAACCCGATCCCATCACGTCAACCGCCACCCAAAATGGACCAGGCGAATCAAAAACCCAGCATTACAATCGATCGCGCAAGAGCGAACCGATCTTGGAAATGCACCTGAGATCGGGACCGAGACGAACCCAGCTCCGGCGGGAAGAAACCCACGACCGGAGAAGCCGAACTGCGAAGGCCTGCGGGATCGGATTCGCGAGCCGAGCGGAACGCAACCTCGCGAAAACGGAAGTGAGATTTTTCAAAGAACCTGATTCCGAGGAAGCGTCGCGCGGAGGGAAGTCGGGCTTTCACGTTCGCGCGGCAGAGTGCCGTTTGGTTCGGCTTTTCAAATGCAACTTCGAAAAATGCAAATACCTTTAGCTGAAAATCAATTGGGGAAATGCAAGTGGTGTTTGGTAAAAAAAAATTTGTGCAGCTACTTTGATCTAAATAGTGTTTGGTAAATTTTTTTTTGCAAAGGGCTTTGGTAATTTTTATTCTTAATATTCCGGTTTTGCCCCTATTACTATTCATCTTTTTCACCATGAGGGTGGCTGGCGAGGGTGGCCGGCGAGGGCGGATCTGGCCGGCGAGGTCGCCTGACCTAGGCGACGACCGCCTGGGGTCGGGCAACCGCCCAGGCGCCGTCGCCTGGGTTGGCGGTCGCCTAGAGTCGCGCGACCCAGGCGACGGCTGGCTGGGTCGCGAGACCCAGGCGACGGTCGCCTAAGGTCGCGCGACCCCACCGACGGCCGCCTTGGGTCGCGCGACTCCAGGCGACCGCCGACCCAGGCGACCGCCGACCCAGGCGACGGGATCTGGGCGGTCGCCCGACCCCAGGCGGCCATCACCTGGGTCAAGCGACCTCGCCGGCCCGTCGCCGGCCAGATCCGCCCTCGCCGGCCCTTCGCCGGCCACCCTCGCCGGCCACCCTCACGGTAAAGAAAATGAACAGTAACAGGGCAAAACCGAAAAATTGAAATTTGAGTGAGGGCAATTTGGGAAGGAAAAATAGGCTTCAGCATTCCACAAATGCGGAAAGCCCAAAGCTGGTCTGGACCAGCTTTGGGCTTTCGGCATTCCAATGGCATTTCAAATGCTGGCTTTCGGCTTTCCGGACTCGGAAAGCCAAACCAAACGGTTCAGCATATTGGGAAGGGGCTTTCGAGGCCGAAAGCCCCTTCCCAAAGCTGAACCAAATGGGGCCATAGTCAACAACGTGGACGAGGAGGATGTCGATCCGGTGGGAATTCCGCGTATCGTGCAGACGCGAGATCGCGGCAGGGGAGAGAAGATATCCGATATGGGCCGTCGGTTACGTTCGTGTCGTTTCGTATCGTGTCGAGTAAAAATGTTCCGAAGGAGAAATTATGACGAAAGTTTTTCGGTTACGAGCAGATGAAATTGTTGTATCGGTTTCGAGTTAGTCTCATCCCGCCGTGTTCCAACGATGTTGCTATTGCATTAAACATTTTGATGCATCAAGGCGAAGCACAATGTTTGGATCGATGAGGTTTTTCTCTTTAGGATAGGGATAGGCGACCATGGCTAGCGACTCCCTTCGGATGTTACTGTGCCCGCTACAAAACTTTCGCACCACCAGGAAGCAGAAGGGCCGAGGTTGGAGAGGCCTCTAGTTCCCAAGAACACGATGCTAACGGCCAGGAAGCCTCTCGGATTTGAGTCATAACTAACTACTTCGCACCACCCGTAATCAGAAGGTTCGAGATCGGTCAGGAAGTCTCTCGAGTTTGAGTCATAATAACTAATTACCTCCCACCACTCGTAAATAGAAGGTTTGAGGTTGGCGAGTCCGCTAGCTACCAAAAACACGATACTCAAGGTCAAGAAGTCTCTCGACACAAGGTATGCCGCAATTAGGCAACATGGCACAAGCCTCCTAGAGATTCTTTCATAACTCACTAGTTGCCAAAAACAATATGCTAAAAGCAAGGAAGTCTCTCCACACAAGGTATGCCACAATTAGGCAACATGGCACAAGCCTCCTAGAGATTAATTTAAAACCCACTAGCTGCCAAAGACTCGATACTAAAGGCCAGGATGTCTCTCGTCACAAGATATGCCGCAATTAGGCAACACAACACGAGCCTCCTAAAAATTCGATATGACATGAATCGAACCGGCGACCTTATGGAAGATAGTTCACCCTTTTACCAATAGACCATCTACCACGATAGTTTGGATTGACGAGTTACAAGGTACACGTTTAATGCCATTTGCCATGTCTAATGATACTTTGGCTATCATGGGCGGAACAATAATGCGGCCAAGTTTGTCCCGCGAATCTTTGGCATTGTCTTTTCTAAAATATGCTTAATTCATTTTACGAATTATATTTGTAGGACAAATTTGCAAATTAGCAGTATTAAAATAAAATAAAAAAAATGGATTTCTCCCTTTTAACTTAAATTATAATTTTAACTTTAAAAAAATGGATTTCTCCTAAATAAAAAATAAAATAAAAAAACATTCAAATTATAATTTTAACTTAACCCCTCCCAATTTCGTTACTTTTCTTTTCACTTTGGTTTTCTCCCTTTTAAATGAATTTCTTGTCTTATTTCTTGATTATCTATTAAAACATATTTTGAATAAGGTGTGAAAGATGTTAGATGAGTAGGATTTTGCTTTCTACGATTCTCCAGGAAAGCGCCAAAGTGGAAACCTTCACAATCTTTCCATTTGTGTGTGTCATCAAAGTACATCAATTTGCCTTTTGGCCTTGAGAGACGACATGATATTCAGTAGAAGGCCGCCTTGCTGGGAGGGTACTTGACGGCGTTCTTGACGATCTTCTTGGCGGCGGCGTCGCCGAGGTCGATGCCGCAGATGTCGGCCAGCCTCACGAGGTAGAGCAGCACGTCGGAGAGCTCCTCCCCGAGGTGCTCCTTCTCCGCCTCCTCCCAGTTGGGCAGCCCCTTGTCCACCTCCCCTCTCCACTGGAATATCTCCGACAGCTCTCCCACCTCCCCAATCTTTCTTGCAAAACAAGGAACATGGATATCATCACAGCAAAGAAAAGAAAAGGAAAACGGTAAAGCCGATACGGTGTTCTGCTCCAGCTCGAGCCGATCACGAGATCGAACCTCCCTACTCGACCTCGCACGATATCACGAATTCACCGGCAACCCGATGATCATTATCATCTCTAGTTGCAGCAAGAACAGAAGGGAGTGCTACTAGAAGAGATTAGCATACCATGGCAAGGAGGAGATTTCTAGGGCTATGGTACTTTTCCCAGTCCCTGGCTCTTGCAAAGTCTTCAAGTCTCTTGGACAAGTCCTTGAGGCCAACGTCCACGGCTCTCTCCTCTGCTCCATCTTCTCCTCCACCTCCCATCTCCTCTATATTCCCTAGAGACTCCCATCCTCCCCACATGCCCAATTTATAGCCCTTCCTATAGGAACATCCATAGGAAAGAGAACACACTGAGGAAATGCCCTCCTCCTCTTGTTTATTATCAGATGAGATTCTTCCATCTCCAAAGCAAATGGCCAACTCCTCTGCTCAAAACCGTCCGAGGACTATTCCATCCCCATTTGCATTTTTGCATCAGGTGAATTGACACTCCCATTACGGAACCATTATCAGGTTAACTTAACTTCGGGTAGGGTTTGCTTATTATCCACACTAATCGGCGCCTTAAGATCAGACCAGATGAGGACGTTACGTGTTCGAACCTAATCTTTCACCGAGGCGGGTCATCACTTTAGTTGTTTAGGGTATATATCCAGAGCATCGGGTGTGCCCCAGTAAGTCAAAGTATCCCACGTCGCTTGTTTACGGAGATTATATGAGCTTTAAATGCAAGCCACCTCTCTTTGACTCACGCTTTAAGCTTAGCTTATGGAGTAAACGGTTGCGCATCCATACCTAAAATGTGGTGTATAGATAGCATGGCGGCTGCTTGGTAGCATATCCAATGAAATGTGTGGCCATGAAAAGAAACTTGTGTGCCGCGTGCTTTGTGCTTTTCTGAACTCTGATACAAGTGCTCCTGATGGCAAAATGCTTTTACAGATGTGGAAACACAAAGAGAATAATTCAAAGGCTGCATCGTGGAAAGAGCAAACGGAAGTTAAGTCTTAATGTAACTACGGAAAGAATGAAAGTGACTCTAGTCCCTTGTGGCTCGAGCTAGGCCTAGGCGAGCCCCGTGAGCCACGAAGCTCACAAAAGCTTTTCGCACTTTCCCTACGAACCAACTCGGTCCGACCGAGTGCCGTGACTCCAGCGTTCCGCAAAAATGCCGCTTATCTCAGTAGAATTTCTAAACCTTTTCCTTCCGGATCCGATCATCCTCACGAGCTCGAGATCAAGACGCGCCCACGCTCCCAATATATTCCTCGATTCCTAAGGGATGAGAAAAGGCGGCAAGCATTTGACCAAAGAATTCATAAAATAAAAAAAAATAAAAAAAACGCATGTTCAAGAACTTCAAATATTCCCACAAGAGGGTGCCAAACTTGGGTGCTCCATGTCCATGCACGATCTTGAAATTTGCATATATGAAAAAGGGGAAGGCCGTATTTGATGCCCTAATTTAACTAGGCCACCGCCAGTCACAAGAAATCATTGTTAAACTCAGCCTGGAGCACCCAGGATCTATTAATAATGGAAAAGCTTTGATCGTGAAAGCACGAGGAAAGATGCGATAAGATAGAAATGATCTCGTGCTCTTCTCGAGAGCATCATCGGCCTGACCGGGATTATCGCACTTACATATCCATAATGAAAATAAAGTTTTGAACTTTATTTCTGTCCCAAGGTGTTTCATGGCATCTTTGAACGATATGACCCTTGATCGGTGTCGATTGTACAAAGTATTAGGGCCCCGTTTGTTCGGCGAGAAATGAACGGTTTAGAAAATATTTTTTTCCTTAAAACGACCGACCGCTTGTATCGCATGGAATAACTGATTGATGGAAAGTGTTTTAATTAGTGACAACGGTTTATGTATGAACATTTTCGTGGACGTGAGAATATTTTTTGTTTGTTCGTTCAGTTTCGTGAGAGATGGGGAGCGATCGTTTTAAAGAATCGATTTTTCAAATCATTCATTTTTCGCGAAACGGATGAAGCCCGGGAGTCGGCACAGAGTCGGCTGTTTCGATTCCGAATTTGCGTTCACGAGAAGCCAACTTTGCATCTCTTCGTTCCCACTACGATGATGAAAAAGTTAGAGAATGGAAGCGACTTTCCGTTGTCATCACAAAGAAATCATTCTTATTGTTCATGGCACAAGCATAACCACGTAATGTCATTGACCCAATGCCCACGATGCCATATTCTCCTAGGGTTAAATGTTCAAACATCCTCGAGAAAACTACAAAGTGGCAATTGAAAATCGGGGCACTGTTTCGCACATGTAAGATTGCATCCATTCTCGCAACTTTTTTTGCGTTCTTGTTGACACATTGGACTTTCGATTGCAAAATCAAAGCTTGACATCTCAAGAGGGATGGCTTTTTTCTCGGCCGATCGGAGCTCTTCGTCCGATTGAACTTATGTTATTTTAGCTAGACTGCCTACCTTATGAGCAAAATAGATCGACGGGACGGGGACCCAAATGGGGTTCCTAATCTCGTGAAATGGAAGCTACGTGTATCGCTTTTTGAAGAAATCACACCTATCGTTTCGGCGCGCATTATTCGACCGAACGATGCCGTTCCGTGACCAGACCTTCAAGTAATTACTGACCATTTTTAACCACGATTACTTAAAGTAGAGGTGGCGATTGTGATCAAACTCGATGGATAGGCAGGTTCGGTTCGGCTCAAAGGGCAAAGTAAAAACGATGGGCCAAGGTGACGAGACAAGAACAATTGTTATGTCACAATGTTGTGACATGGGCGAAATAATGTGGTCATCCATCGCGCCAACTTTCTAAAGGTTGTGTGTGGGCTCAAATTTTACGGACAAATTTAACCAAAAAAGTCATGAATCTATTTTATGAATGCCAATTCAGTTTTAGACATTTTGATTTGGCCAATTCAGTCCAAAAAATATGTAGTCATTCAGACCAATTTTAAATGGCAATCGTTAACGTGGATGCCGGTTGTTCTACGTGACACGAACAATGCTGACGTGGTCAATTTTATTGAAAAATTTTAAAATTTATTTAAATTTTTTATAAGCTTTTAGATGCTTTATTTTTTCTTTTTTTCTTTTTTTTTTTATAATCTGCTTTATTTTTTCTTTCCTTTTTCTTTTCTTTCTTTTTTTATTTTTTTTCCTAGGCCAGCAAAGCCTCACCAAATCTGGCGAGGGTCAATCTCACTGACCTTCGCCTATGACAAATCGCCGACCATGTCGACTAGCTGGTCAGAAGGGAAAAAAAGAAGAAAAAATTTTAAAAAAATTGCAAAAACTATCAATGTTAGAGTCGGCCGTACTAGAGGTGGCCACGGTTCGGAACCGACCGGTTCCGGTTCGTGGCCAAGTGTGAACCGGAACCGGAACCGCCTCTGGCGGTTCCGGTTCCGGGCAGGTTCCGATTTTTTTTTTTGTTTTTTTTCTTTTCCTTTTCCTTTTCCTTTTCTTTTTTTTTTCTTCCTCCGTGGCCGGCCATAGCCGGGGCCGGCACGGAGGTCGCCGGCCTCAGGCGAGGCGGCCCTCGCCGGCGTCGGGCGAGGCCGACCCTCGCCGGCGTCGGGCGAGGCTAGGCGAGGGCCGGCCTCGCCCGACGCCGGCGAGGTCGAGCCTCGCCGCTTGCGGCTAGGCCGAGCCTCGCCGGCGTCGGGCGAGCCGGCCTCCCAACCCAGGGCGAGGGCCGCCCTCGCCCGACGCCGCGAGGGCCCCTCGCCCGGACGCCGGCGACCTCCGCGCGGCCCGCCATGGCCGACCGCGGAGGAAGAAAAAAAAAATTAAAATATAAATTATAATTTTAAAAAACAGAAACAAGGAAAAAGACAAAAGAGAAAAAGGAAAAACAGAAAAGGAAAAGGAAAAGAAAAAGAAGAAAAACAGAAAAGGAAAAACAGAAATGAAAATTAAAAAAATTAAAAAAATACTATTCTTGTGATAGAACATTATTCAATATAAATTGTGATTAAAATGTAAATTGTACTCAAATTTGGGAACAAAAAGATAAGAGAGAAAGAGAGGGCTTCAACTTAATAAATTATTATTAAGCACATTACAATTCGTTACAACGATCTTAAAAAAAAAGGAGTACAATATATATACCCTAAAATTATCCAAAAACCTAAGCATTCCGTGCGCAGGGGACCAGAGGTCACATATCGTCGGATTATATTTCGGTTTCCCTAAGCTCACGTGGGCGTACCCAGTATGAGAAACAAGAGTTCTCGAAATATTTTCCAACTCCAATAGTTCTTTTACCCTCAATCGTCACTACCCGTTCCAGTACCGATACTGGTAGCCGTAGTATCTCCGTCGTTAAAGAATTCGGATTCATTATTCCGATCTATCTCTTGTTGCCGGTATTGAGCCTTCGTCCAATCAAGAACACAAGCTTGCATCTCCACCGATTCGGATCTAATCTTGAACGATGTTCGTTCAAAATATTACCTCCTAAGACCGAATGCTTGTTCGACCGCAACGTGGAACAAGGGGTTGAAAAAATCTGTTTTGCAATAAGAGAAAGGATTGGGTATTGGCTTGCGTGCCTCTTCCACCAATCCAAAATAAAAAATCTGTACCACCTTCGAGCTTCGATAACTCAAATAAAATGGTTAGATAACTCTCTAATTCAGAAATATTTCCTATTACTCCCTTTTGTTTTTTTTGTCTATGTAATAAAAGTTGGTACCCTCTACTAATTTTACCTGTATTGTCATTTTGTATCTCCGTAGATTGAGAAGATCTAATATCACCTAAATTATATTTAGTATAAAATTCATTATATAATTCTATTACTACGTTTTTAACCTCACGTACTATGGTTGTAACATTTGTCACATCATAATGTAAACATTGATAATACGCACGCAAAAAATCATTTAAGCCATCCAATTTGCAACGCGGATCAAAAACACAAGCAACTAAATAAATCATGGGAATTTCACTATAATAATGAAGTCATTTCATTTTCATTGCAACTATAGTACGTTGTAATTCAACATCATTTTCATATTCATCAAAAGTTCCGACAATATTAGTACACTCTACTAAAAATAAATGTATAGTAGGATAATAAACACCAGACAAAGTATAAGTTGCATCATTAAAAACCTTTAAAAGATCTAAAATTTTTTGGCAAATATGCCACTCTTGTGGGTATAAATTAATTTGAGGTATATTATTAGAAATGAATGCACATAATAAATCTTTATATGCTAAAGATTCATTAAGCAAGTGGAAAGTAGAATTCCAACGAGTTGGAACATCTCTTGGAAATCTTTTTGGCTTTTTGCCATTATCTCTACAAAATTTACCCCATTCTTTTATTTTTTTGGGATGTTTCCATAAAAATTGAATCGCCGTTTTTATTGGTTGAAGAAAAATATCAAGAGTTTTCAAACCATCTTGTACACATAAATTTAAAACATGACAAGCACATCTAATGTGAAAAAAATTTCCGCCAAAAGCGGGTTTACAAATATTTTCTAACTCGGCAATTGAAGCGGTATTTGCTGCGGCATTATCAAAACCAATTGAAAAAATTTGTTAAGCAAATAATATTCTTCTAAAACTTGCCTAATTATTCTATAAATATTATTTGCCGTATGATGATCATCGAAAACTCTAAATGCAATAACTCTTTTTTGAATAGTCCACTCGTCATCTATCTAATGACATGTTATGCCCATGTAAGAATGATTTTGCCAATGATCACTCCAAATATCACTACCTATATGCACGCATCCATTAAATTGCATAAAAAAGTTTTGTAAATCATTTTTTCCATTTTTGTAAAGATCTTTAATTACTCGTTTAATTGAATTTCTAGGAACACGTTTTGCTTGTGGAGCACATGCTTTTTGTACAAATTCATTAAAACCAAATCTTTCTCAAAAATTAAATGCTAAATGCTCAACGGAAATAAATTTGCCTAATTCTTCCTTATAAGTTTTTTCATTAAAACGAAATAAAGGGTAAGTGTTAGGATTGACGTACCCGGAAATTTGTTGTTGCCCGATATCGATTCCCGTTTCGGTTGGATGTTTGCTCATAAGATGTCGTTTAAATGTTCCATATCCTTGTCCACCTGTATATTTATATATTTTTCCACAATATTTACAAATTATATCATACCTTTTTTGACCGATATCAAACCTTTCCATTTTCGTGAAGTGATTCCAAATGTCAGATGTAAATTCCCGTTCCGCTTCCTTTGTTGTATATATTTCAGCAGGAGGATAAAAACTTTCTTGCGTCGGGACGCGCTCCACATCGCGAAAAATGTTGATTTCATCATCTTGAAAATCTGCATATTCACGAGGATCAAAAGAATGATGGGATTCCGTCGTGATATTCTTACCTTTGCCAGTTGGCACTCGACTTCCACTTGCCATTTTTCGAATGGATTGAGAGAATTGAGCGGATTAATTGGGAGAATTAAGAAAGAATTGCGTGGATTGAGAAAATTGAGAGAATTTCAGAGAATTTGAGAGAATTTCGAGTATTGAGAAAATTTGAGACTTGAGAGAAGAGAATTTGAGAGAATTTGAGAGAATTGTGTGTGTATTGTGAGAATTTGAGAGAATTTATAGGAAAAAAATAGAAGAAAATTTAGAATTAAAAAAAATAAAACATAACCGTTGCAAAATTGCAACGGTTATGTGTTTTTTTTTTATTTTATAAAAACGCCCGTTGGGGCGTAGCCGTTGCCCCAACGGGCCGCAAGGTGCAAGCCCGTAGCAGGGCCTGCACGTCTGCAGGCCCTGCTGCGGATAAATTTTTTTTTTTTGTTTGTTTGGGTTTGGCCGTTGCCTGGCAACGGGCTGCTGCTGCTGCAGCATGGCCTGCAATGCAGGCTGTGCTGCAGCCTGCCTGCAACTTTTTTTTTTTTTTTTTAAAAATTTTTGTTATTTATTTATTTTTTTCGCAGAACCGGCCCGGAACCGGCGGTTCCGGTTCCGAACCGCGGGCCCGGGTTTGACCGGGCCGGTTCCGGTCCGGTTCGGTTCTGGGCCAAAACCGGCCCGTGGCCACCTCTAGGCCGTACCACGTAGGACAGCCAGTGTCTAAGTTAGCAATTGCTTGCCAAAATTCGCTAAAATGGCTACATTGGCAAATCGTTAAAAGGTTTAGGACTAAATTGGCCAAAATGAAATGTTTAGGACTACATTGGCATCCGTACAATAGGTTTAAAACTTTTTTAGTAATCATCCCCTCAATCCTATAAACTCGACCTGATTTAAAAATAAAATTGTAGCTGAATTACTTGATTGAATGAAAATAAAAATAAAAAATGTATGGAGATTGAGATAAAAGTGAAAATTGATGGATGATTACAGTTAGAGCTATGTTTTTTCCGCTCTCTCTTTTGCTAACGCACTCCTTGTTACGGTATTTTGTCCATATTACCCCTTGTGGCTCCTACTTTTTTCACACACTAGATTTATGTGGGGCCCATTTTGTGTCTTTTACTTTTTTACTTTGTTCTTCTTTCTTGGTGTTTTTTCTATCTTCTCTGTTCTCTCACTTGTTCAACCCGCAGTTCCCACTTCCCAGGCGTCCGAAATGAATCTCGAGAATTCGGTGCGGGAGGGTGTTTAGAGACGTCAGAAATGAGAATTTATGGGGAAAGCCAAGGGTGATCGTGAGCGATTTGGGTTTGTATTCAGTACGAGGAGACGCTTGCAAAGACAACGGAGATGAAAGTTACGCCTCGGCTGCCTTCTCCACCTATGTTTTCCAAACGTGGGAGCGCGCGAATGCTAACCGTTCTGTTCCAGAAACAATTCTTGGAACAGACCAGGACGAGTTTTTGAGGAAAGAAACCCATTTTATAACGACCGAAAATTTCTATTTCTGGAACAGAAACTCATTTGATAACAGCATAAAATTTCTAATTCCTGAAACATAAACCCATTTGATAACAACACAAATTTCTATTTACCGAAACAGAAATCCATTTTTTTAGAAATGGTCTCTAAAATGAAAATCAATCAAAACACCCAAACCCTAGTAAAGCCCGAAAGGCTTATTCATTCAAAGGATTGTGTTGTTTTTTAGGGTTTTTTAGGGATAAAGACCCCTTTTGGGGATTAAACCCCTTTTAGGGTTTTTTTAGAGGGTTAAAACCCCTTTTAAATCCCTAAACTAGGGAGTCTTCAAAAATATCATTTGAGCACCTCAAAAAATTTAAATTTTACTCAAAGTGGGTGGCCATAAGTATTTTAAGCCATTATGTGAAGTTTTGAATTTTTTGATTTTTTGATTTTTTTTGAAAAAAAATTCACTAAATTTCCTATTTTCCCGAAATCTGATATTTTGTTTACTTTCTGGAATTTTTCAATTTTTATGGATTTTTTGAAAAAAAAATTGAGATTTTTAGGAATTTTCCAGATTTTTCTAAATTTTTTATGATTTTTTTTATTTTTTTCTGATTTTTCTAATTTTTTTAGAAATTTTTTTATTTTCCCGCCGGGAATAAACCGAACCGAACCAATTCAGACCGGTTTGACCAGGTCAGACCGGGGCCAAATTTAGGAAGAGGTGTGTCTTGAAGAAAGAAGACAGGTTCTTTTAGAAATGGTTTTCATTCCTCGTCCAGAAACAGAATACCTACCTTTTTTTTTTGTTCTGATTTTTTTGTCCAGAATCAGTTCCAGAACAAAAAATTATTCCAGAAATAGAAAAACGGAATTGCGTTATCGAACGAGTTTCTATTCCAAATCTGTTCCTGGGAACAGAAAAACTAGTTCCGGACAGAAGCAGGATGGTTATCGTGCGCGTCCTAAAGAGCGCGATCGAATTACAATTACCTCTAATATTTTTCCGAACACATATTTATTTCGCCGGGGCAGTCCAATCAACCAAAACTCGACACGAAAGCCCGAAGCCTCAATTACAAAAATTCGAAAAGCCCGTCTCTCCAATTTGGGCCCTCCACAAAGCGTAAAGAAGCCCTAGGATCGAACGGCTGAGAATCCTCCATCTCCATCGTCATCAAGCGATAAAAAACTTGAAACCCAAACCCTAGGCACCGTCCTCTCTCTCTCTTTATTCATTTTCCTCTCCCGTCTCTCCCTCCGCCGATCTCTGCACACACGCTCACGCCGCAGGGAAGATGGTGAGCCTCTTCCTCCGAAACCTTGTCTACCGCCATGAAAACCCACGAAGCAAACCCTTTCCTTTGCGTAATGTTCAGTGCCCACTGATGTGTTCTTGTGTTTTTTTTTTTTTTTTTTGGCGGTTTTTTGGTAGCCTTTCAAGAGGTACATAGAGATCGGGAGGGTTGCCCTCATCAACTACGGCAAGGATTACGGCAGGCTCGTCGTCATCGTCGATGTGGTGGACCAGAACCGGGTGCGTGAATTCACATGCTCGAGCTCTCTCTTTTTTAATCCTCTCTTCCTGTCGTGTTTGTCGTGTGGTGTGGTTACGTAGCTGTGTTGAAGTTTTCTTTCTTTTTGGGTAATCTAGATTTGCTCGTATATGATGCGGGTGAAGATGTAATGCATGTGGATGATGTAGTTCTATGATGGGTCTGGTTCTTTCAGCTGCTTGGGAGTGCTTTGAGGATGGTTGGGACACATTGAAAATGCTTTGTTGTTAGTGGGTAGGAGCCAAACTACTAGAAATAGAAGCTCTGGACACCGTTGGTTTTCGAATTGGTTGCGTTGATTTAAGTTAGATTCTACGAATGAAAGTTTTCCAGTTTTTTGGGGACATTTGCTGGTCCCTTTGGTGTCAGATTCTATTCACAAACGTCTGAAAAGATCCACTTGATTACTTCGCCCCGAGAAGCAGTTTCTTTGGCATCAGTCTTGACATGTGGTTTGTGTCCCATCAATGCTTAATTGTTTGTGGTTGTAAAGAATCCTTACTTGGTACATCAACACCTTCGTTGTTTTACATCACCACGGTGATAATCATGTGTTTGCTTCAGCATTTCTAGAAAGATATTAGCAATGTGTTGTTCAGACTTTCCCATGCCGTACATTTGTTTATCTTTTTGCACCAAACATGTCCCCGGATACTATTTACTAAATCTGAAGCTTTGATTTGCTTGTACCAGGCTCTTGTCGATGCACCTGATATGGTTAGGTCGCAGATGAATTTTAAGAGGCTCTCACTTACTGATATTAAGATTGATATCAAGAGGGTCCCTAGGAAGAGCGCTCTCATTAAGGCTATGCAGGAGGCTGGTAGGCATACTTTTACTCCAATTCTGGATAAGCCTACTTTTTAAGGATTTCGTGGTCCTGTGCACTATGACAAACTTATTTCGTCTTTCCAGATGTCCAGGGTAAGTGGGAGAAGAGTTCTTGGGGGAGGAAGCTTATTGTTCAGAAGAAAAGGGCATCCCTTAATGATTTCGACAGATTTAAGCTCATGTTGGCCAAAATTAAGGTTGGTGATGAAGTCTTCTGGGATTTCTTACGTTGCTTTTGGGTGTTCTCGATTGTTTATGTATTGTCATTGTTATTTTTTCTCCTTTTCTGATTATGATTAGTCACACCTCCCACGGTACATGCTGTTTCACCCTGTTTTTGTCACCTCCCAGAGGGTCCACTGTTGCTGTTTACTCGGTTCCTCATTTATGTTTGTCGTTGGAGCTGATTACGGTTTTAACATATGTTTTTGCAGAGAGGTGCATTGATCAGGCAAGAACTGTCAAAGCTCAAGAAGGAGAGTGCATCCTAAGCACGAGTTTCTTGCGTCATGCGGACCAAGAGTTTTTGGAACATGTGGTATTTGCTTTAAACGGATTGTTTCCTGCTGCTTTTACTGGAGTTTAGAAGCATCTGATGGACTATTGTATTTCGTGACTTTATTGAGTGCACTTAGTGAAGATAATATCTTTTTGGGACATGTTTATCCTCTATCAACATCATATGAAACGATGCAGGTCTCTTTTTTTCTTTTGCTGTTTTTTTATGACAGAGAAACGAGAGATTTACTTCATTTATTGCAAGTAATGCTTTTTACCTTTGTACCATACACAATTGTGCAACCACAGGTAGCTCAAAGCTCAGAAGTCAGAACAACTCAATTAAGTTCTGCTTTGTTAGCACACCTTAACGGTGACGAATCTATAATTCACAAAACATAGGACTTTTCTTATGATTTCTTACTTACGCCTGTTTGTATCTGCACAGGATGAATACGATTCGGTAGGTACGATGAAAAATTGTGCGAATACGATGAAAAATTGTGCGATGAACAATCTATGAGTAACTCCTAACACTGCAGACCGGCTAATTGCATAATGCTCAATATCCAATCGAAAATTGTCGTTCAAAGTTCTTCCTCATCTCCTTTCCGGTATTGGACAAACTCCTGAATGCAATCTTTTCAGTACCCTTTGCTTTCCTTGGACTCAAAGCCGCCAGCTTTGAGCAAATTCCGCTCATCAGGCCGTTTTTCTGCTCATGATAATCGTCTTCTGGATCGAGCAACGACCCCATTTCTTTGGTTGCGTGGTGATCCCACCGGTGTGATCGGTTCTTGGTTTTAGACAAGAAATCACTAGTATAACTCTCTCTAAATTCCTTTCTCGGGGAAAATTGGTCGAGCCTGTATGGATCGTTGGCGTCATTCCAGGTGGAACTTGTAGAGCTAGAGCCAAAGGACGATGTCCTTAACGTATCAGAATTAGAACAAGAAGACAGCGATGATGGAGACGAGGTGGAACTCCCAAATCCTTGTATTTCTTTCGTTATTTTCAGAGCTTTCAGACGAGCTTCCTTGAGCGTTTCTCGGTCTCCCAGAAGTTTTAGTATTTGCTCAGCTTTCTTGTGCATGTTGACGCCCCAGTTGAATCTGAGACCAGGAAAAAGAGCGAAGACGCAAAAAACAAGGAACTTGGAGTCAAACAGGTATATATCACGGTTGCGAATAGCCATGACAGCGAAATAACTTGAGGCATTGCCTATAATTTACCCTTTTCCATCAACATGTTGAAAGGTGCCGAGCTCCTCGATGATGGCAACATCACCCTCAAACTCTTCCGCGAATTCCTCGGGACCATGCGTTAGCAAGAAGTCAAGGAGGACCAGAGTTTTGTAATATTGCCTCCATTGCTTCCAATCAATGCTCTGCAACCTGCATTTGGTGATAGAGGCAGTATTAGTGATTGTGTCTTATGTGAATGCTAAATTAAGTTGTATGTGTTCTTCATTGTGAGTATGACTGATTGTAACAATCAAAAGATGGATCTTTATGATACCTTCTATGGAGAACATCGACGACTCTCCAGTAGTCGTCTATATCATAGGACGCCTCTGCGATTTGAGTCATCGTTCTCGCATCCGGGCTCAATGGATCATTGTTCGTAACATCCTCCGCCAAGCTTAATTTGCACAACGTAGAATGGAAGTAAATGGGTGGCCCTTAAAACTCTTTTGTGCAACAGAAAGGTCATAATATCATTGAAAATAAGTAAGAAAGAGGACATACATTTCTGCTTCAGTAACATCAGTTAAGGCCAGCCTAGCAGCTTTGTACTTCTCTTGTAGAAAAGATGATGCCTGCTTTTTAACCTGGCCAAGCAACAAGTTCTCCATAACTTCACAAAAGAGGAGAGACAAAAAAATTTTGAGATAAAACTCAGATCCTTCGAGGGCTGTTTAAGTATGTTATTCTCTTCATTTCAAAACATAATGGAGGAGATGGGTTTGGAGCAGTGTTCCCTCTTTTCTGACAAAACACCATTTAGCATCCTGAGGTTGACCTATATGAAGAGTGTTTTGGTGGATATCCTTATTTGTAGCTCAGACAAATAAGGAGAACAATAGTACTTTTATATCCAAATTGACCAGTCAAAAACAATGGCTTTACTGAGAATCAGGATTTTCAGACAGACAATCCCAGTTTGCGGTCATTAAGGTCATATGGGGCCTGTCACAGTGTTATTTTATTGGAGAGAGATTCTGGGATAAGTGCAAAAACAGGATTTAAGATTTTGGCTTTCATCGATTGAGTTACGGTTTTATTTAAATCTATGGAGGACTTAAGGTTTCCAAAAAGGCCCGGTCAAGTAGCGGACTTGCCATCAACGAATTCAGCCATCAAAAATGACATATGGCAAATAACTAAGTATTTCACGCGGGAGTCACGTCAGATTTTCCGATGCCTAATTTTCACATACGGCGAGCTTGAGATTTGGTTTTGATTTTTTAAAAACCATGAGTTCTCAATTTGGCCAACATATAATCTTAAATCCTTAATCGATCAATAGTCAAAATCTTAAATTCTCAAGAACCATGAAAAACACGGCACATGATCATTGTACATATAACTGTTAAGAAAATTGATAGTAGAATGGCTAATGCTAGGTCCACAAAGCACTCCCAAATACCAAACAGTTATGTGCTTATATATCATAAATACAAGCAATGCCGTCGCCTACTTATTAGAATGCTTCCAGAAACTTTACATTCATGTTCAATGGGGCAAGACGGGGCGGCGAATACTTTAATGAGCAAGGAACAAGAACTTGGTCTAGGCATAACTTTCATTTCCAAGGGACCATACCAACGGAATACCCAAACCTCAGCAACCTCCACCATTAATACAAGATGAAGTTCATCATGTAACATCATGTGAATCCTAGAAGAGTTGTGCTGGACCAGAAGAAGGCATTCAACAAAGATCCTCCACCAAATGCAGAACAGGATACAAGACACCATTACATTAAGAGGGGCATTGATATAGCATCTTATAGATATGACAAATGTTCTTCAGCAGAAATTAAAAAGGTACTTATTACAGCTACAAACGGTCTCAAACATATTAACAATTCCCTCAAGTGAGATTTTTCTCAAACTTTCTTGCCCCAGATAATGTGTTTTCTTTTTGACAGAAACAATTCCCGATGGAACAAGTGAGTCCAAACTGCTTCAAGAACTTCAAATAGGTTCTTCAGCTTCTGAATAGAACCCAGCATCGGAGATATACATATGCAACCAAAGTAATCATGTCGTCCCATAATAGCCTCCTGGGTTCATACACTACAGAGACATTAGAGCACCAGCAATGCACGCTAGCCCCATCAGGCGGAATTCCATCATTTATTTTCTCTTGTTAGTGCCAAGAGATAGAAGCTCGAAGCTCCGAAGTGCATCGTCCCGGCTGCCCCTTGTGGCCCCAGAACGGGTGAAGGATGACGATTTGGACTCGAAACCGGGTTGAACCCTCTGGGTGGTGGACAGGCGTCCACTGCTTGATACCAACCGGCTTGACCGACCATCGCTGGGCTCACCAGAGGAGCTTGGTCGGCTGCTTGATATTACTGCTCTCTTTGAAGTACTTCCATTGCGAGAAGAAGAGCGGCCTTTCTCAGAATCAGCTTGCTGGGAATAAGAACACATCACTAATGAGGCAAAGACACGCTGACTACAAACATAGACAAGATCCAAAGTTTAGCATGCACCCAACTCCTTACACGTGTGGGATTGTTAATTACTCCAGTGCATGTACCCGTCACATATGCAAGAAGATAAGCATTTGAAAGCGTGTAGCAATTTCTCAAAACATGCTTGTGTGTAAGGCCCAATTAAATGGAAACCCATATGTACATGTGAGGATGGATCCAACGACAAGTTCCCAACAATTGTTCATTGAAGAAATATAACGAACAACCACTTGGATACATTTTTCAATTGTAATTTCACTTTACCACATCCTTGGATGAGGGCACATCATCTGAAGATCTGTGCCTGGAATGATCACCATGCAAACCATGGCCGGAGCCATTCCTCCTGGCAAATGCCTCAACAGCACCTGAGAGTCTCTCTCGAATCTCTTGTCCCACTAGACAAACGTGTCATGAGATGTTCGTTAGATTGACTTGTCATTTAAAGTGAAATACACTATAAAAACACGAACTGAAAGCTCCCTACATACTTCTTCTCTAGTAGAACTTTAGAACAGAAATTTTGCAAATCAGTTATGTACACTACTGAAACACATAAAGGCTTTAAACTTTCGAAGGAGCTTACCAGAAGGCCTTTCTGCTCTCTCTGCAGAAGGTCCTGGATTTAGAGCAGGTTTACCGCTTGGCTGTAAGAAAATCACAAGAATTAAGAACTGGATTTCTACGACAAAGGAAAATAGGCACTAAAAATTTTGTGATCCCTAAAAAGTAAAAATCCAAAAGTGGAAACTAAAGATTACCCGTGCTCTAGAACTGGAGCCAATCTGTGGGTATTTCAGTATGGTCCAATCAAAAACATAGTCAAATTGATAACCTACAACAGGTGATAGATTTATCTTCAGAGATTCACAGAAAGACCACTTAGCAAACTGATAACCCAAAGAAAACTTGCCCTCACCTTCACGAATAAATAGATCCCGGAATAGCCTCTTCAGGTATGAATAATCTGGTTTGTCCTCAAACCGCAATGAACGGCAATAGTGGAAGTATGATGTGAATTCAGATGGATATGATCTGCAGAGAACCTGTAAAATAAATGGGGATGTTCATTTCCTGTCCTTGATGTTAGTTTTTCTAGAAAATGGGACATGCCCAGAAAAAATGTTGCATCCAAATCCAATAGATTCTTCGCCAAAGGTAGAATGGGTCCAATCAGCTTCCCTAAGTTAAAAGCAATAATACCTCAATGGGAGTGAGCATCTTCTTTTCACTAATCTTGTCATATTTCTGCTTTTTAGTGCCTGCTTTCAGGCCTTGCCATGGAAGGCTGAGATGCAAAACAAAAGAAGTGTCAAAGTATAACTTGAATAATCAGTTTAGGTGAAACAAGCATCTCGGTTTGCAGTCAACCTTCCTCGAAGAAAGTACATAAGCACATAACCAAGAGATTCCAAATCATCTCTCCTACTTTGTTCTGCATGAAATATATAAAACATGTCATTACGCAATCATAATGTTTGAAATTTGTCTAAATAAGTGCTTGCAAAATCGAAAAATGCCTTTCTTGGATGAAAAATATACACTGACCAACTCCAAGATGAGTGTTGACACTAGCATAGCGAGCTGTTCCTGTAAGATTCTTGTTTTCCCTGCAAAACGAAGATAAATTGTGCAATCAATGATTCCCGCCTTTGGACTTGGTTGAAGAGAACGGGAAAGTTCTAAAACAGGGAAAAACAATTTCAGGGATGTGAATTGCCACTTCAGTGAAAAGACAAAAACTGTTGAAAGCATAAAACAAAGGAGTCGATAGACTTTCGTGTGTAAGACAGACAGAAGCAAGAGATACTTTGAACAGCACTAAGGCACCAGAGAAAGCCAGAAAGTTCCACTTTCTTTGCAACCAAAACGGTTTTACTTCCTCCGATACTAAAGTGGTAATTTACAGTTTTACCAGATGAACGCACATTCTTCTGGAAAGAAGATATCATTCACATACATAACTAGCATAACAAATTTAATAAAGAACAAAACACCAGTGGTAGTTACAGCTTAGCTTATGTGCATGAAACAGACAAACATACACTTTGTTCTGGATGTAGATATAAACAGTATTTGTCAAATATAGAAGTATGCATCTCCAATACCTGTATGGAATGTGCTTGTGTGTTTGAAGATCCCTGTATTTTTTAGCAAGACCATAGTCAATAATGTACACCTGGGAGGAAAAAAGTCCAACAGCATTAGATGACAATGCTCAGGTACAACAAAATAAAGAGATAAAATTAAACAGATGTGACAGATGCAGAGGTAAACAATACAAAATGCTAGTGAATATTTCTCCGTGATTTCTTTTCATTAACATTAGGTTTCCTTTCCAATCCTTAGTTTCCCCAGTAGGCTCTCCTTTAGGACGTTTCCATCCATTTCACAGACCAGGGACTCAATCCAACCCTATCCAGTTGGTCGTGGGCCTGTGGTCCCAAAATGTGAAACATTAAGCATAACCATTTGCATATCTATCACCATAAAAACAAACAATTCAACCAAACCACTATTCCAGATATTCTCACTTCCACCATCCAAAACTTCAAAGCAAAAGCATATGGAAGTCTTTCAAAGACACATGAGAGTTCTGTGTTAGTTCATACATAAACAACTGTAAAGGTAATTGTATATGTGCCAGAAGAATCTAAAGGTCAATCATCAAATCACCTGATTAGCTTTTCGCCCTAAACCCATCAAGAAGTTGTCAGGCTTTATATCACGATGGAGAAAACCCCGTGAGTGCATATACTCAACTCTATTTATCTGCAAAAGATGCGCAGAGTGCAAATAAGTTTGGTATCTACTTAATCCAAAAGCACCGTTCATTAGAATAGGAAAACTTACTAATTGATCCGCGAGCATCAAAACAGTCTTCAAAGAAAACTTTCGATTACAATAGTTGAATAAGTCCTCCAAACTTGGTCCAAGAAGATCAATAACCATTACATTGTACTCTCCCTCAACTCCAAACCATTTCAGATGGGGAATACCGGCTTCATAAATTAAGAACAAAACATTGGCCAAAGAATAATTGATTTAACATATATTACACAGCTTGCAACTTAAACTCACGCAAAGAGAAAGAAAGGAAGGTAGAAAGAAAGAAAGAAAGAAGAAAATTAAAGCACAACTCACTTCCTCCCTGAAGCAGCATGTATATTTTTGACTCATAGTGAAGCTGAGGGTGCTTAGTCTTCACAGATTCCTGAACATCAGGTTCCATGCAACAGTAGATACAAAAAATTAATTCCTTGGTTAAGTCTACAATTCTCACACAATAATAACAAGAAGAGATGCAAAGAGTGAGAGGGAATATCAAATAAGAGAAAAAAAATTAAGGAAATAAAAGCTGGTTCATTTTAGAAATCAGCTAAGTGAATTCATACTTATCAATCTACCAATAACTAATAACCATGCTTGAGAAAGCACCTTAAGTTGAGAGGTTGGACAAATAGTTTTCTCTGAAGCTATCTACTCAAACCAACAGAAAATTTGAGACAACATTTTCTATGGTGACACTAGAAGATGCCCAAGATGAAGGGGCACCTATTACTGCAAATAGCCATCGGTGCACTGAGAAATGAAATAGGTTTGTTGTGAGTAATAAGTGTGATGTTTGCATGGAATTGAACAGTTTAATCTGAAATGTACTTAAGAACCACTTTCAACACGATTAGACAAAAGCACATTGTAAATATTCAAAACCAGAGAACATAATAAAGGTAAGTTCCAGGCCTAATTTGCTACAGCCTCTAGTAGTAATGGAAAAGCAAACAAGGAAAAAAAAAATCAGAAAACAGATTGACATATAGAAGCCACACCAAATTACTGACAAAAGGTACCGATTTCCTCGCAAATCATAATTTAAATAATCAAACATACATCTCCTTAAGAAAGATCAAATATATATCATATTAACAAAATTTTAAAAAAATGGCATTCATGCTATCAATGCCACAATGCGAGTTCTTACAATCAAGCACCATTAACCAACAAAAATAATGTTCATGGACCACATCAGGCAATAAATTCCCATCCACTAAACGACAAGCTCCGGAAACATACCAACTTTATTGCCACTTCCTCTCCGCTCTGCACATTGATTCCTGAACAAAACCACCGCAACATTAGCCAAACATGCTCCGATCCACCATCAAGGGAACCCAACACACGGTCCCAAATCCGAAAAAAACAAAAAAACAAAAAAGAAAAGAACACCCATTATTTCAATTGAATCAGAAAAAAGAATGCATACCCAAATATAGTTCCCCGAATGATCCGCTACCGATCTTCCGGCCAAGCTTAAATTTGCCACCAATCACATGATCCATGATCCAATCTTCCAAGAAACGAGAATAGTACAACAAAACTAACCAACTTTTTCCCCAACTCCGATAAATTCCGTCCCCCGGGTCAGAGACGATCCAGGCACATAATCCTCAAGACGCTCGTCCCAGATCCAAACTTAGATTCTGCCTCACCCGAAAGAGGGATCTTTCTCCCCAAAAAAAGATTGCAGATCGATCGACTTACCACCAAAATCAAAATGCCCCCCAAACCTCTCGAAAAAGGAGCTTTACAAGAGCTAAAAAAAAAAAAGAAAAATCTCTATCAAGAATTTCCAACAGAACCCAACAAATCTATGCAGGCAACTCCAATATCGGACACCCACGAACCACAATCGTCAAGGAGCAAACTTGACAAATACCCATCAACCGGCACGAGGAGAAAGCCCTAGGGGGAGGCGTCCGTGATGCGACATTGCGCCGGCAAAACGAAGAGGAAGGGAATTGGAACAGAGGGGGAAGAAAGGGGGAAACTCTGGAGTGGGAAAAGAATAATCTGGGGCAGGTGGGGTTTCGGAGATTGTAAGGTGAAAGGAGGGAAATTCCTGGGGAAATCAATGGAGGGTCGGAGGTATCTTCGGATCTGAGTCGAAGGGCAGAGGAGATTTTAAGGTTTCTTGGGCAAAGAATCGGAGATTCTGCAGAAAAGAATATCGACCCAGAATGAAAGAGAGAGAGAAGGAGAAGAAGAGAGAGAGAAGGAGAGAGAGAGGGGAAAAAGTGATGAAATTGGATGATGGATGAAGGGAGAGGAGGAGAGAGAGAGAGAGAGGGGGGGAAGGGGAAGGGGAAGGGGAAGAGAGAGAGAGAGAGGGAGGGGGTGATAGGTGAAATTATTGGGGGGATTTTCTATTCTTTTTTTTTTTGTTTCTGGTTTTTTTATCTCTTTTTGATAGGGTCTGTTTTGGTTTTGATTGTTTTTTTGCTGTTGTATGCATCTGCTAATTTCTTCTTTTTTTTTTTTGTTAAATTTGTGTATATATATATATGTGTGTGTGTGTGTGTGTGTGTGGGAGAGAAAGATAAGGTGAGGTGGGTATGTGCTTGCTGTGTGTGAGCTCGCTTCCATCTGGCACTGCCCAAACAGAAATGGTAAGAAGCACCCAACAATTGGAGGATGCCTAAATTGGAGATACCCATCTTGATTTTAATAATTAAAGATATTAAGAAAACATAAATAAATAAATTTAAAAAGGAAAAAAATTTCTTTTGTGAGGATGTGCAGACCAGTCAGTTACTTGAGCTCCACTCGAATGATTATAAAATCTCATGCTTTGATTGTTTTCTAATTCGAGCCCTCTCCAAGAAATGGGGGTCAAGTTTGAGCTTTGAAGTAATTGATTTGAGCGAATGAGGAATGCAATTAAGTTGCTGGATTTTATACTTTAAATGGAGAAGTGTATCTATTTTAGTTCTTCTTTTTTTTTTCGATTAGTGATGTACTGCGAGAACTCGAGCTCTAATTTGAATTTGCGCTAAACCTAAGACAAAACATGTAGCTGTTGTTGATTGAAATGGGTTCGAGCTCGTGAGGACGCTACAGAGTCGAGCTTGAACTCGAGGAACCGAACTCGACCGGGATTCAAAGCATCGAGCCTCGCATAACGTGTCGAGTCCAGATCGAATATGTGCCGGGCCAATGTAACTCTATCAGGCCCCGTACCCAAAAGTTAAAAGGAGAATTTGGATGACAAATTGCAATCTCATAATATAAGCATTAATGAAATCCTTGGAATAATTGTCCTTCACAATATGAGGCTAATAGAAAACCAAATCGCCTCTGGCCAATAAAAAAAAATTTAAAGTAAATTGGCCCAATGGTAAAATAGCCGTACTATGCTTGGCCCCAAAAAAATAAAATTCGTACTATGGATCCTTCATCCAAAAGCTTCAATCGGCACATGAAGACATACGTATAGACAAGAAATAGACCGCACTTGGCCCGCGAAAGGCAAATCGAGTTAAAGAACTAAGCGAGACGGGTCTCATTCGGCTCTTAATTCCCCCTACATAACAAAACAGGCTCCTCGAAATACGCAAAAGTCGGTCCCGTCTGACTGCTGTGCTGAATCAAACACGAAAACCCAACTTCGACGACTAATAAGGGTAATTTTATGCATCAAAGAGATTAGGTATAACGGCACGAATGATCCCTGAATTTTAGCCTAATATGCAATTACATCCGCCCCTGAATTTTTAATTTGTTCAATGTGATCCCTAAACTTATGATTTAAGGATAATGACACAAATACCAATATGCAATGTGGTTCATGAACTTTTAATTCGTTTAATGTGATCTCTGAACTTTTGGTAAATATTCAATCTAGGCCTGAGATTCTTATATTCCTAGATTCAATCTAGTCATAGATTAGCTAGTACAGGGATTAAATTGAACATGTACGAAAAATTAATGATCACATCAAACAAATTGCGATTCAAAGATCACATTGCACATTGGGCTAAAGTTCATAGACCGAATTGAACTAATCAAAAATTCTAGAATCACATTACACAGAGAGCCAAAATTCGGGTACCATTAGTATCGTTTTCCTAAGGAGACTAAAGACTCGACTCTTTAGTTATACATTACCCGGGTACGTTTCCAATTTTATCGTTTGCCTTACCATGCCAGAAATGCGTCGTCTCTTTGACAACTAAAATACTACTAACAAAGACATTGAAGTGTTCCATCCACCAGATGTACTTCATGCGACACGCAATGTCGACAAAGCTTGTGCAACGAGGGATGGAAACGTTTTTTTAAAAGATCATCCAGCGACCTAACATGGGTCGTCGCTAACTTCCAGAAATCAACATTAGCGCTCCCAATTTCCTGGAGCCACACCGCACCCCACTCCCATTCCCCCACATCCACCAAAACCATAATATATGACCCAAGATCCCCAAATCTCTAAAATGGATAGAATTCCGGTGCGATTTCGCAAAATTCGATCCAAGAATCGTTTTGCAGACTAGTCCCTGTAGTCTGTGATATTTAAAAAAAAAACAGTTCTTTCTTTCTTTGGAGATGCCTGGAAAGATCGTTCCAGGCAAAAAGGGGAGGCGTAAAGGAAAAGGACAGAGAGCCACTGCTGTACACTTCCACTGAATAGCTGCCACATACCTCAGAACTGTGTTTTTTCCCCTGGGGGGATGTCAGTGGCGACAAACAAGCAGCATCTCCTCCTCCGCCTTCTTCTTCGACCAAGAACAGCAAAAGAGAGCGCGACCAAAAAGCGATTCCCACCACCTTTTCAAGACGACACATTCACACGCCTTTTCTTTCCTTTTTTACTCACAGTCGTATTCACACCTTAAAAGCTTTTTCACCCGTCTATTGCGTTTTGTTTTTTAATTACATGACCACTGCGACGAAAGAATTGCACATCACTCCCTCAAATTGAATCACCACGAATAATTTTTCGCCAAACCCCCCTATTATCTATCTTACAAGAGTTTTTTTTTTTCCAGATCCAAAGCTAACAGTCAGAGGGCGACTTACGACGTCGACATCTCAAACTCGGTTGTCTCGGGGACCCTCGCCCACCCCCCTTTAACTCCCCAGAAGGAGTCGATCTGCAACACCGGAGCGCCAGAAGCGGCAAAACTAAACATGTCAGTATTCGGTGGAAAACCGCGAGGCGTCAGGGCAGGTCAATTGGATTCGCTATGCTTCTCGGGAACTTCGAGTTGAGGGGGCAGGAGGTTCATAAAGCTGCCGTGAACAGGTCGACTAGCCGCTGTGCCCGACTCATCATCTGTGAACATACAAAAACACAGAGGGAAAACAGATAAGCTTCTCGAGTGTCGAGATACAGATGTTTTTCTTAGGTGGCTTCATTAGCACCTTCCCCGCTAGCTATATTTGATCATTCCTCAGCATAGAGAAGCATAACAAGCTGGGTGCTTATTTGTAAGAAAGAAGCTATGCATGCGTGAACACGTGTCTTTAGAGTTATCAAGAAAAAACATTCTCTACAGCTCTTACCAAAGAGAGACTTGATGGATGGCCTTTTGGGTTTCGTGTTCTTCTTCTTCAGTTCGGCTGTAAACAGAAGGACCAAGTAAGTGAACTATTGCAGTCTTTGAGAGTTCAGCATTATATATATTCACTTCCTATGAAGATTGCCATACTTTGAAAAGGAAAACAGGCCAAGACCGTCGGAACTTTAACGTAAAAAGTTGTAGGACGAGTAAAATTGTAAAGATGGAACACCAAATGTGATCCTCTTTGAGATAGGTTTAGACTGGTGTAGAATGCTAAGTATGAACAGTCCAAAACCTATAGTAACACGAATTTTTCATGTAGTACAGAAAACAGGCTGACTGGTAGAATAGTGAAAAATATAACAGAGCAATTTGGTCCATCTATTGAGTTTGGCATGTTCAAAACCAGAACACGGTTTTGACAAGCTCCAGAGAGCATGCACCAGAGATAATAGAATATAGACAACATCTGCACTATCATGTCATAGCATAGCTCCACGTTTGCCGATGCCTTATTGCATTAACAAAGAGAAAGCATGCGATTCCAGCAGACTATTAACAATTGCAGAAAGAGAGTTATACCTATTCCAGGCAACTGATTATCATTGACAATCTCAAAGTTCTTATATGTGTAACCGACAAAGTTGATGTCCTTGGATGAGAGCATCTGCAGTCAGAAAGGGAACAATTCATCAGATGCCAGTACACTTCCAGTTAAAAGTCTGATAGAAAACTTCTATGTGTATAAATATATGTATGTATGTATGTACGTACGAGGATATATAACATATATATTCACACACACACACACACACAAATATCACAGTAGAGAGTCCCAAGGGTGATCCCCTTTTGCTAGAGAGTAACAGAAGGTCTGAGTATGTAAGAAAGGTATATGGATACAGCCATCACAAATATATGATCAAAGGAGAGGGTAAAAACAGATACTTAAGACCATACAAATCCAAAAGTATGTGTTCTGAAGAAGTCCTAATATAAAACAGAGAAAAGCTTGACGTTTGGTCCAATTTTCAAGTTTAAATAGGTTTTGGCCAAAACCCCTTAAAATGGCCTCCTCAAGGCCCACGATTTGGTCCAACTAAACCCAGTTATTGTGGACTTTCTATAAATGCAAGGTCAGTGAAAAATACAGAAAGATAAATACTTGATTTTTTTTCCGAATTGACCCCTTCGAGGCAAGGACTATACCCCAAAAAGGTTCTTTGCATTGTCAAGAACATTAGGAAACAACAGTTCAACATTAGTGCAAACATGCACCTTGCATTTAGTAGAATGATACTGTGGCAGAAGCTAAAAGATTAAAATATAAGTAGGAATGTGATACAGCTTATAAAATGCATCTGAAAATGATTTATGTACCAACCTTTCTCCATGGACCTGATCTTGTTGAAGTTTGAATTTGATTGTCGGCCTACATCACCATGGTATAATAGAAGTTAGAGATAGAAGGAAAAAACTATATATATCCCAACAGCAGTAATCTGCCACAGATATTTCTTCCTTTAGCAATCATTTTCATGCCAAAGCAATACATTATGTACTCATCTACCTCTTCAAATTTTTCGAAGTTCTGAGTATCCAACTCATCGTTGACCTCAGGAATAAAAGCAGCTTTGATCTGATACAACCGGTCCCATTCGATCCCTTTAAACCATGGATGGGCCTGTAACCACAAATGCACCCTTTCAATTGTCATTTTCAGCTCATTAGCTGTAAGATTTTATTTTTTTTTGGTCAGAAGCTGTAAGAGTTCAATAGTCAAGAATTGAACACTTAAGACCCCATACTTTAATTTCATCAGCCCCTTTTGTTCCCAGCCTCTGGTCGACGTTACATAGAAGTTTGCTTATGAGATCTTTAGCTTCTGGAGACAGCTTTGCTTCTTCAGGAAATTTCAAATGAGTCCTCCAATTCACAATCTGCCGAAGAAAGCATTCATATTAAATAATTGTGAGGACAAAAGGCCAAGTATAGATGACCGAATTAAACAACACCACACATGAGTATTCCAGCTCAAAATAGAGATTTCATTTTAACCTTGAAACCTGAATAATTCAATAAGTTCAACAACACATATATGAGCCTGTTATTCATTTAAAGTAACAAAAGTCCATATGAATCTGAGCCCCAGTCATCCCACATTTCAGCCACCACCATACACGTGTTATGAAATGTTCATCATTGTCATTGTCAAAGAATGGTGGGTTTATTGATCACTGAAAAAAGGCCATAATTCGGTTCATATCTACAGCTACAGTGTTACATATAGATATGTACATTCACATCCTGTTGATGAAAAGAGATTACATTGTTAGGAGCACAACACTGTCCCTAAAACACACATATTGGTAACAAGGGGAGCTCATCTACTATTAAGTGATTCAACTTCATTTTTCCATAAAAACACTGGCACTTATGAAGATAAAGTATCAGCAAAAAAAAAATTAGGATTTCAATGCTAAGACACCTTTCTACATGTTGACATAGGATCATCGGAGTAAAAAGGAGGGTATCCCACAAGCATTTCATACATGATGGCACCAAGAGACCACCTGCAGAAGTAGTAGCCAAAGATCACCAAAATAAATAAAAGGAAAAACATTTTTGAAAAACAAATAGAGACAAAATGATAAGAAGGCATTTTCTTTTCCACTATTTCTTTTTTTTCCTCGAAAATACCCACCAATCACATTCCATCCCGTAACCTTTCTTCAAAAGAACTTCTGGGGCAATATAATCCGGGGTGCCAACAGTAGAATAAGCCTGCATTAGGTATTGTTAAAAGTTCACATAACAACATACACAAGTACCAAGAGTAATGAAATTGCACGGAATAATACTGAAAATTGGCCGTGAATGATCATCCACATAAATCCCATGTATGTCCCGGACAAAAAAAATAGAGGAACACACAAAAAAAATGTGAGGATTAATATTTAGCACGATTTGTTTTGTTTTGAATGATGTCTGACCAAAAAGGTGACACCAATCCTACTTGAGTTAAAACTTACCAGCGTCCTTCTGTTCCTCTGCCAATGCTGCAGTTGCTCCTGTTGAGTTCGCTTTGAAGCCAAAGGTCGGCCATCACTTGAAAGAGCCCCACTAAGATTGTTTCCCACAGAGAAGTCCTTTTCTTGCAGGTTACTGCAATCTAGTGGTTTACATAAACCAAAATCTGATAATTTCATATGACCATTTCTGTCAAGCAGCAAGTTGTCAGGCTTGATATCTCTGCAACATAAGTTGGCAAGATGCATCATTAGTCATTTCAATGAATCATGAGGGAAACAACTAAAGGAAATAGAAGTAGGGTATTGACTATTAACAATGCACTACCTATGAATATAATTATGTTTATGGATGGATTCAATTGCCAGAACAGTCTCTGCAACATAGAACCTGGCCTCATCTTCAGTCAATATGTCCTTCCTCATTAGCAAAGTCATCATATCTCCACCAGGTAGATACTCCATAATGAGATAGAGATATTCTTCATCCTGGAAGGAGCAATATAGCTTGACAATGCAATTGCTATCAACCTCTGCAAGTAGATTCCTCTCTGCTTTCACATGTTCGACCTGAATAATACATTTGCAAGTTAAAAGTAGATACGATAAGATCCTGAATCCCATCTATGGCAGCCTGGAGACAAGTATACCTGTCCTCTACGAAGCATCTCAGATTTTTTAAGCTTCTTCATAGCATATACATGACCTGTTGCCTTCTCCCTACATATTCTGACCTGCACCATAAAAGCAAACACTAGAATCAGGATCAAAGGCTTGATTCGCTATGGAAAGATATCAGAAAAAAAATAAATAGCCAATACAACAGAAAAAATATGAAACTCAGAGAAGACATGTAAATGGATATGAAAAAGTATCAGAACCACAAAATCTATGAAAAATGCACAAGAAAACATCAAGAACTATATTCCCAGTCTACTGCAGATGCTAAAATAGATTAAGGTCCACAGAAAGAACAATTTTCTCGCGAGAAAAGCAATCTTGAACACTTAAAACAGTTTCCATATCTGCTACTATGCTGAAGTCATTCTACAATCAAATCAGATTATTGCTCTAACTAAGTAGCACCGACACCGACACCGACACCGATACCGATACCGACACCGACACCGACACCGACACACGACACGACATGACACACCGACACGTCATTTCTCAAAAAATAGAGAATTCCAACACTTTGGAACACGTTGTATATTAAATGTATATTTTCATATATACATGATAAATCATCATTTTTATGATTATTTCAATCAAATTAATTTGATTCAAATCCACAAATAAATAAATAATGAAAAAAAGAGTGTCGGTGTCCGACACGTCCGACACCGACACGGAGGCCCCGGAGAGTGTCCGTGCTTCCCAGGCGCTAAATAAGAGATTCTCATATACAAAGAGTCATCGGCAAACCAACTACTCTGCAAAGTCCTCTTACGAAAAAAATTCACGTCTACTCAAACAACATATGGGAATAATGGACACGGGGCACTATGCGATAACAATCATGCCATACCTCACCAAATGCACCTTTCCCTATCATTGTCAATGGCTCAAAATCATCAGCACCCATTTTATGCCTCTGAAGGCGCATGTATTCTGTTTCCTTCTTCTCCAGGTGCTTGAGCAAATTGTTTTGCTCTTCCTCGGTAACATCGGCATCGGCCAGCTTCATCTCCAGTATATGACGACTACAAAACATACACGTTCACTTCACTACCATGAATTAAAGGTAGCAAAGACTTTTTAATGTACAAACACACCCCAACCATCCTGATCCATTTATGGACAATACAGAGCATCAACTCTACATGTGCATATAAAATGATGCATCAAAACACTCTGTAATTAGTACTTGGCCACTTTCCTACGCTCAAAATGTACACATACACACATGCGCACGCATATACCATTTGGATACCTTTTTAAAAAGAAATGAAAAATGTGACTTCCCTTATTAGTTTTCCACACTCTTGAGGAAATCAAATGTATAGGCCATGAGATATCAACATAAGAAATTCTCAAGCAGCTACAGACTAAGCCACTTGTCCTCATCTTTGCCATGGTCCCGTCATCGGGACAGCCACTTAATCCTGAGAGAACATTCCATATGCATGGGAATGTAGGTACTAGGGGAGCTTCTACAAAATATATCTGTAACATGCATTGTTAGATTGCTAACTTTCATTGCTTGCCATCTTATCACTGTCCGATCTGTTAGATTCTTGCCAAAACAGAGTGTCTACAATGAAAGGAGCCTACCTGGATCCAAAGCTCATAGAAATGTGAGGGATTCAATTATTGATTATTTTAGAATGCATTTTCTTCCATTAACATTAGAAAATGCAAGAAGGAAAAAGCTCTACCACAAACAGAACGCAAGGAGACATTAAGAGGCAATTGACTGCCTAAATGTATAGAAAGGAGAAGGTATTAACTAGGTGCAAATATTTTCTCCAATAACTAAGGTTCTTCACAATTGTAGTAGCAATTAAAGGATGTTGTACTGACATCAACTCTGTGTCTCGCAGAACAACCCTTGCAGAGTAGGATTTAAAAGCCAACTTATGGTTCTGACCCAGAAGTCTCGTTGAATGAGAAAAGCAGTTTCACAGAGTTAAGTTTTCTTCTCTTCGCCAAAACCGTAATAGATGCTCTGTTCTTGATAGGACCAGAGGAGGTTGAAGACAACTAGAACTCTTTAGATGGAGGAGGACAAGTGGAATAGGAAGTGTTGGAAAGATAATGCCGGAAAGTTCTAAAAGCATGTGCTTTACTGGCAAGAGTAGTGAGATTAGTTGAAGTTAGCATCAATGAATGGTCTCACTGATACATGGAAGACAAACCACAACCCGTAATAAACAGTAGAAGGAACAAACTCTAGCCAGTCAAAAAAAAAAAAAATTACTGACATCATCGTTAGAATATCATTGTCGTATCTGGGATACTCCAATGAATAAGGCATTAAGTAAAAAAAGTACAAGTTTCGCTCGGGTGTTCTACAATTACTTCACACCAATTCACTCATTTGATGTGCTTTAAGGCAAGATAATTATTTTCGAGTATATTGCTCCCAATTCCAGTCAATTGCCGAGTTTATTCTAACTTTCCCTCAAGCATATTTATTGGTGTAAAATGATCATTCTATTGACGTCATAGGTCTTAAAATGATTAATTTGAAGCCATGAAATGATCTACGTATTCTATCATGCGGCAGAAATATTACGAGCTACTTCCTCATTTATTTGCCATGGATCTCCCAAAAAGACCCCAATCCTCAAGAATGGCGGCTCAGAGAAAGGAACTACTAGGTATATGAGTACATAGAGAAAGAAGTACTTGGCATGATCCAGTAGAAAAGAATCATAAAAAACATGTAGTGCTGCCCATTTAGTTCATCCATAATTGCCAGATTAAAACCATACCGTTCTTTCCTTTCTTCAAGATTCTTCATTTGCTTCTTGTAATGATTTTCTATGTACTGCTTTGCTGCTGCAACTTTCTGCTTGGTGACATTTGAAGGTGCTTCTTCACCCGTTGGAGGCTTTGACCCATCTTTCCCATTTCCTGCGACATCTTTCTTTTTTGACGACCTTGCTCTATCTTTGGACTTAAACTTCCCGAACCAACATCTTGCGGAGTCCATTAGCAGACTCGCAACTCTAAACCTTACCACCCAAATCTACTTGTCAATTAATCGTCGCCAACTGCTAAAGAGCACAAACTGCACTAGGCAAATATCTCGTCCTGCAGAAGGAAATATCCAGATCCTTGCACGCCATTGGTCACAAAATGGCCCGATTCATGCTCTTCGTATCTACGGAAATGAAACGATAGTAAGTCAGCCCCATAGGAACATATAATTACAATAAAAGGGCAACCAATTAGACACAACATTCTGTTCCTGATGAATCAGGCTCGCCAGGGAAGCAAAACGCTTATCCAAGAATGTTAGACTAAGATCTTTCAATAACCAAACAACGCGCTTCTTTTCCACAAATTATTCAATCTCTAGCCAAATGGCATACTCCCGAAAAGTCGATACCGCATCAAAACCGCCACATACACTATCTATGCACCTTCTTGCCAAGAGAATGACATACCACGGCCAGTTAGATTACACGTGCCACGAGCGATAACCGACATAACACGAAATAGTCACCCGAAGGCTCGAGTTAGGAAACAGAGTGACAAGATTTTAAATTCAGTGGGCATTAGGCGCTGCAAATACACTAAATCCTCCTTTTTTGGCTGAGCAAGGAGATCTCATGATCTTAACCGACAATACTTCTTCCGCAACGCAATTCCAATGGGTCCACACGAGCACCTCGACACTTGCAAGCGACATTATGATCCAGTTAGGCGACGCGAAGCAGACGGACGCTTTTAGAAAGAGTGGCTAACCAGATAAATTCAAATCTCCGAAATTATTGGCCAGGAACCGCTCGAGGATAGAGCGAGAACGTAAAAGCGTGCATCATTCCAGGCGATCACGAAGCGCAAAAAATTCCCCCTAACGGAAGCAACTCGACGGCCATCCAAATCCTCCATTTTCACAAGGGGGGAAAAAACCGGCGGAGCAAATGCGGCCAAAGGAAAGGAAGACGAAAGCTCTCGCCGCCGCTCGATTCTAGAGAAGCGGAGCGAAACTTACCGGGCGGGGGGGGGACAGGGGGCTGACTCCGAGCAATTCCGACGCTCGCTCCGATCCGGAACGCCCGGCGAAACCAGGCTAGGGAGGGATGAGGAAATCGCCGGCGAACACCCCGGGAAACCCTAGGACATCGAGGCGGCGCGCGGGGGCGCGATTCCGGGCGGAGGCGGCGGAGGCGGCGGCGGCGATGGACCGCGGGGGACGGCGGCGGCGGGGCGGGGAGGCGGCGGGGACGGGAGGCGGAATTCGCGGCGGAAGGAAGGAGGGAGGGAGGGAGGGAGAGCAACTACTTTTCACTTGGGTGGAGGTGAAGTTGCAGGTGGTGGTGGAGGTGGTGGTGGCGATGGTGGTGGTGTGGTTGAGCTCATGATTCTCTCCCTCTCTCTCTCTTTTCCCCTTTTTTCTCTGCGCGTTGAAACTTTTGTTTTTCCTTTTTCTTTTTCCCCCTTTTTTTTTTCTTCTTTTTTTTTTTCCGCTTGCTTTGCGCGTATTGAAAATCGAAGCCCCCCTCTCTCTCTCTCTCTCTCGCTCTCCCTCTCTCTCCGACACGCTTACGGAATTGGGACATTTTGAGGTCGGATTGGACGGCGAGGATGGAAGATGGTTTTTCTATAAACCCGTGCTTCCTAATTATCGGATAATTAAATTTATCCGATTTTAAATCGATAATTCGATTAGGACCATTCATTACGGACGATTTCGATTTTTTTTTTTTTTGGGCTTTAAAAGAGATGAACCGTTCGAAGGTATATTGATTCTGAATTCACTTTAATGTCGCCGTCCTCCGAATCAATGCTCGGTTCTTGCAATGCACAGGCCTTTCTTTATATGGGACAGTGACACGAACGGTCCATGAACTTTGGCCTGATGTGCGATGTGATCTTTGAACTTTTAATTTGTTTAATACAGTAGCTGAACGTTAAGCTAATGTTCGATGTGGTCTCTAAATTTTTAATTTGTTCAATGTGGTCACTGAATTTTTTGTACGTGTTCAATGTAGTCCCTTAACTATATGAAAATGTTCAGGGTTTACATTGCACAAATAAAAAGTTTAGAGATCACATTGCACAAATTAAAAGTTCGTTGACCACATTGCATATTAGGTTAAAGTTAAGGGACCACATTACACAAATTGCACAAATTAAAAGTTCATGGACCACATTACATATTAAGTTAAAGTTGAGGGACAACATTGAACAAATTAAAAGTTTCAAGGCTTACATTGCATATTTGACTAAAGTTCAGAGACTATTTGTGTCATTTTCCCATTACATATCGACACGGTAGATATTCACACATATGGGAGATTCCGCAAGACAAACCAGATAAATAAGATTTATATAAGTTATAGGATCGGAATTAAAATCCATCCTATCTTTTTAAAGAAACTCCGGTCTATATGTAGCCTTAACTCATTCTTATATGAGTGAATCCTTAAGATATTGCCCGATTCATTAAAATATAAGGTATCAAAGAACAGCTTCTCTTCATTAACATTGCATCTTTTTTAACAAATGGGTATTCTCCAAAAATCATTCATGCAGCCTACTTATATCAATTTCCCTTATTAAGAAAAATTGCAAACGCATTGGACATATTGATAAATAAGGTGTCGGCTTAGACGTCAAGAGAGCTCGCTTCTTTATAGAATGTCTTGGGTTCAGGCCATATTGATAAAACCCTAAGGGGATAATAGCGTAAATGGTCCCTAAATTTCGGTCTAACGTGCAATATAGTCTCTGCAATGTTGTTTCTAAACTTTTAATTTGTTTATTGTGTCCCTAAAACTTTAGTCCAATGTTCGATGTGACCTTTAAACTTTTCGAGGACTACATTAAAACATTACTAATAGTTTAAAGACCACATTGAACAAATAATAAATTTAGAGACAACACTGCACATTATACCAAAGTTCGAGGACCACATTAAGCAAATTAAAAGTTCAAGAACAATATTACACATCAGATCAAAGTTTAAGAACCATCCATGTCATTTTTCCAATCCTAAGATGCACTCAGCCGATGTCAGCGAGTGCGCCTTAAGATCTTTCGGGGAAGTGGGACAGTCGAGATCCGAGCCTGGACAACTACACGACCGCTAAATCGGAAAAAAGAAAATTTACTACATTATAATAGAAAATATGTTTACCATCTTTAGGGTTTATGGTGGAATCTTCTTCCTAAATTTTGTGCAGGAGAAAAAGGCAAGATAAGAAAAGATGTTTCACCATCGGACTTTGGAGACCTTGGAGATCAGATTTAAGAAATAGTGATGATTAAAATAAGACCAGATTTAAGAAATAGTGATGATTAAAATAAGGAACAACTTTGCTCGACCGTCAACACCCGTTGATGACTTGAAATACCAAAGTTTGCCTAAAAATGATGCGAGAAGGACGCCACGAGTGCCGTAATTTCGCGTGCGCTACTCACCTTGATACCGTAACTTTTCAGTCGATCGCTGGAGCTGTAATTCAGGAAAAAAAAAAGTTTGCTTTTAGTGACATTGGCGATTTCCTTTGCTGGAAAATCCGACGCGAAACTAAAATTTATATTACTTGTCGAAACTTTTTTTTCTTTTTTAAAGTTAAAGCACTTTAGTGATCATTTTAAGTTATGTCACTCGTGGTGAATATTTTGTTAAAAGTTATGCCATAACTTTTGAAAAACGTTCACTTTGAGTGACGTTGGCGATTTCCTGTGTCAAAAAATGTGACGTGACACTAAAATTTAAATTATTGCATTCAAATAATCGATTAAATTATGCCCCTCACGGTGAATATTTTTTAAAAGTTGGACATTTAAGCGATCGATTAAAAAATTATGATATCAAAGCGACGTGAAACCAATCTCAAACTTCAAACAACCCTTCTCTTTTCTAAAGGAAAAGGAATAAATGGTTGCTGGTCAAATCAATAGTGCTCATTACTATAATTAGCAGCATCGATTTCCTTTCTTTACCCCCGCGATTAGTGGGTTAATCCGGGGTTTAAAAAGTACAAAAAAATGACTCATTAACTAAAAAAAAAAACTCATACCATTTCATACGAGGTAGAACTGCAAAAAAGGAAGAAGTAATAGTTATGTGCAATTATATTAAGGAAAAATCCCATTGACAATCCGAAGCTATCCCCGTGGACGTCGGGATTTTAACGGCTATTAAGGATGGAAGTCTAACGAAATGTACTTTCGAATCACTAATACAAGTTCGGGGTTATTAGAGAGACGAGAAAAAATAGGATATTAGTGGCTCACGAGGAAAAGTTTAGGATTTTTTGTTTTGGGGATCATCCCTTTTATTAAAGTAAAAGAGCATTAATGTAGGAAGATATTTTCCCAAAAATAATCATCCGTTTTATTTGAAATAATTAACTAATGAAAGATGTTTTCGAGGCATTTTTGTGGACAGTAAAAAAAATTTGTTAATTCATTTATGTACTCAACAAAAGGATGACCATTTAAAAAAATGTGTTTCCAATCATTTATTTTTACGAAACAAACGGAGCAGAGAACGAATAATTTGGAACACATTTTTTAAATGATTGCCCTCTGTTGCTTATAAAAATGAATGGACGAATTATATTTTCTTCGTTCACGAAAATATTCAGATATAAATCGTTGTCTATAATGAAAATAATTTTCATTGACTAATTATTTCAAGCGAGACAAACTATTATATTTAAAAAAATATTTTCTAGATTATTCATTTTATCGCGGAAACTTACGGCCCGTAAGTTTCGAAAAGGAACAGACATAAACCAAATCTTAGTCACAAAGACGGGGGAGAAAGTGGAGAGGTTGGTTTTGTTTAGACATATAATAATGGAAATAAAATGATTGGTCAAATGATAATTAAAGAAGGAAAATATAAGATTAGTGGCATCTTTAAAGGGATGAGGATGATGATGAGCTGGACCACAAGAAGCATCATGGTCTCCAAACGCATCGCTCGCTTTTCAATACGTTAAAAAAAAAGCTTTAAGGGAGGGACGATAGTGCACATTGAGTTAAAGTTTATGGATAATATTAAATAAATTAAAAGTTTATGAACGACATTGCATATTGAATCAGAGTTCATGGATCATTTCTGTCATTTATCCTCTCTTTTTTGTCACGAATTAGATAATCGTCATTTTCAACTTCTTTTTTTTTTTTATAAATAAG